TATCTACTGTCACAGTCAGACAAGAGAGGTATAAAGCTGGGAAAGTTATTTTAAAGACAGTGCAGCCTGAGGTATTTCTACTATCCCAGCAAGCCAAATGTAATTATTTCATATTGGAATATAATTTTGCTTTTCAATTGCATTAAAATACGCATCTGTCTGGGTTTAATTTTAATTCCTTTAGTTAACGTGTCGTCTCCAATTATGTTGTGCATGTCACAGTTTAACAGTTTCTCAGTGCTGTATCTGGGTTTTGTCTTAAAGCAAACTAGTGTAGTCATGGAAAGACTACTAAAAGTCATTTTTTTAAAGTGCAGTGCAGATGCTGGAGGATGCCGAATTGCAGCAATGGCTCCCATATTTATGTAATCCTTCCATTTAATACAAGGGAAGTGAAAAACACTGAATGACTTTCAGTACCTAAAGTTTGTAAATGAATTTTGCTACTATTGTTTCTGTAGAAGTTATAATGCAGCGCATTCGGGGCGTTTTGTCGTTCAGGTAAAACTTCCTTTAAGGTGTTTCATCTTCTGTCCTGATGATCCAGCTGTTGCAGGACATTTAGCACAGATTCAGTAACGCCATGATCAGATCCTTCGACTAGCCAATAGGAAAACACAACAACCCTGCCGTGATGAGAAACTCGTCGCTCATTGGTGAATCTTCGTGTGACGTTTTGGGAAACTAGCTGTTAATTGGTCGTCTGCCCGACTTTAGTTGAGTGAGCCTCCCCCCATCGTTGTTCCGGGATACCTGCAACCAAGAAAAGGTACAGTGCTATTTACATGGCTGTAACTTTATATTAATAGTGTGACACTCCAGGTTAGTTATATTTAAACCCGATGAAGCCTTTTTGGAGTCCCTTTAGTGAAGCAAAATTCTGCAAAAAACGGGGTTTCTACGCATAACGAGTAGTTATTGTCATGTTTTTGCGTTCATGTATGTGTTTTGCAAAACTTTTCAGTGTACATCCATCCAGCCTGTTTCAAATACCCATTTTTAATTTTCTTAGAGGAAAGTGAGCGATGTGGAGCTGTGACGAAATACTTTACGCGTTTCGGTTGAAACGGAAACGGTAATGTTAAAGACGGACAATGCAAATGCTTATTCGGTTTTTGTGATTTTTACAAACTCCGGGCTCTTTCACTTACCGTTATGTGTATGTGACAGTTAGGCTATGTTATCTGATCTAACCGGTTCAGGACAGTGATCAAAGAAAGGCGGCCGATGGCACGCTTGGTGTCGGTAAATGCCACCGTCAGGTGTTTCTTTTGGTGGAATTCCAACTATGAGTCTGATTTACACGCCTGATGGGCACCTGCCGTTAAGTCTGTGGGAGAAATGCAAACTGCAAAGAAGGTGGTAAAAGTACCACTTTCAGATGGGTGGGGGAAATTAAAGCCTTATTTATGAATTTAAGAGTTTAAGCGTTTTTCAACAAATGTGACTTTATACATGCACTTTTTAAAAAATCCACTAAAATAAAGTTTAAGTTGGATAATGACACAAAGGAAGTGCCAGGAGGCCTTCCAAGATGACTGCATCTTGGCTACATCTGTCTGATATTTATTGGAAAACTAGTTATGAAATTCCCGAGCTGCCAGACTAGTGCTGTGGTTGCTCTAACATTTCCAAAAAAGCATGTAACCCAACTACGAGGAAGACAACAGTAACTCAGCAGTCTGTGACTTTAAGCCCATTTGTTTGCCTACATTGCCAGTTAAGACTGAACCTAGAGGAGTAGCAGGTTTGGTGTTAAATTTGAATATGTTCAGTTGGCAGCCAAGGGTGGCCTATCAGCATTAAGCAGGAGGTGTTGATGGGAAAACCACCAACTCACTACCTGGCAGCAACAGCACGCCACTGTATGAATCACCATATGTTACTGAACCAGGAGTGGCATACAGTCTGTGACTTTTCCATCTCTGCATCACTCTAAGATGGCAACGGCTGTAAAATTTAGAAGCTATGAAAATGAGCAGTGGAGGTTCAGGCACTTGGCTAGGAACTTTCTGTGCACCCTCCATTGGATATTTTATGGGCAACTGGGAAGAAGGATTTGTGGAATGTCTGTTAGCATACTCAATATGACCTGACACCAGATAAGCAAAAGATAATGGATGGCGAGAAAATTAAAGGTGAATAAGGGAGACTAAACCTCTCAACACTGACAAAAATCTAGATTCAAATACTTAATTTTTTTATTTAATATAACGACTGTACAAAGGCCTGTAAGGTTTCAATTAATTTAAAATCTGGTGTCAGAATAAAAACTGCAAATAAATCAAAATCAGCTCTTTCAAATCAATCTGCAGTGTCAGGATTTTGACTCCTGTAAGAGATTAGAGGACCCACTATGAAGAAGCAGTGCACCTAGTGACCTGTCTGTTTAAAAACTACTAAAAGGAAATGCTCTGATATAAATATTGACTTTCTTTTGTTGTATTTTTACAGATTCAGCCATGGATCTTGTGCTGAATGTCGCTGACTACTACTTCTTCACGCCGTACGTGTACCCAGCGTCGTGGCCTGAAGACGGAGCCCTGCGGCAGATTATCAGCCTGCTGGTGGTGACGAACCTCGGAGCTGCAGTCCTGTACCTGGGCCTGGGAGCCATCAGCTACTACTTCATCTTCGACCACAATCTGATGAAACACCCACACTTCTTGGAGGTATAAAGCCCATATCTTGTTTTTATGACTGAGTGTTGGCAGAGCTAAAGCCTGCAATCAATTGACCTTTGTATCTGCAAAAGGGTGTACAGATTTATAGGAACACTTGCAAATTACTGTCGTGTGTGCACACTATGGCTTCAAAACCAAGAATTAATAGTGTTTTTATTGCGAAACTAACTGTATTTTATAGTTGTTTATGTTACTGGTTTCACCTCCTGTAGTGTTGTTAATGCTTTTCCTGCCTAACGGACATGTAGTGTCTACATGTAGTGCTTTAATTGGGCCATTTAACTGGGGTGAGGGTCTCTTCATGAAAGCCTTTGTGTGTCTTTTAAGGCTGGGTGAGATAAATTTTTGTTTTTTTTAGCCCCCAAACTACTTTGTTTGAAATGCGCTTTGATAATTTTGTCCATCAAAGTTAATAACAGGAATTCCCCACATTGGTTTCATTTTTTATTTTTTTTTTTCCATTCTTATTTATTTTATTACATATTAAAAAAATGTTACTTATTGTTATTTGTAGAATCAAGTATGGCGAGAAATCAAATATGCGATGACCTCTCTGCCCGTGATCAGCATTCCCACTGTGGCTTTGTTTTTCACTGAAGTCAGAGGCTACAGCAAACTCTACGATCATGTCGCCGATTCGCCCCTCGGTAAGCTGAAGAAGCAGCAGAAAATGTTTCAAATTTTCCTAAAGTTTTTGTCGGTGACATGACCTCTGTGCTTTCAGGTTGGCCCGGCCTTTTCCTGAGTATGATTTCATTCCTGTTCTTTACTGACATGTGCATCTACTGGATTCACCGCTTCTTACACCATAAGCTTATTTACAAGGTGAGGACACTTGTGTTTTTTCATACTGGCAATATACAGTTGCTGAATAGTGGAAATGTCTTTATCGTGCGTTAAACTTTATTGACCTCACTGCTCTCTTGTCCCCAACAGCTGTTTCACAAACCACACCACATCTGGAAGATCCCCACTCCCTTTGCCAGTCATGCTTTTCATCCAGTGGACGGCTTCCTGCAAGGAATGCCCTACCACATCTACCCGTTCCTCTTCCCCCTCCACAAGGTGCTCTACTTGGTTCTTTACGTTTTCGTTAACATCTGGACCATCTCCATCCACGACGGCGACTATCGTGTACCCGGAGCTCTGACGAGCGTCATCAACGGCTCAGCTCACCACACTGACCACCACCTCTTCTTCGACTACAACTACGGTCAATATTTCACTCTGTGGGACCGCCTGGGAGGCTCCTATAGGCACCCGTCAGCTCTGATGGGGAAAGGTCCCCATGATCTGATCAGGAAACTTCAAGCAGAGGGAAAGTTGGGAAATGACGAAGCGAAGCCTAACGGGCAAGTGAATGGACGGGCTCAGAGGGGAGTTACCTGTAAGGAGGAGTAACAGTACGCGGGTTATGAATAATTTCAGAAAGTGATCTCTATTTTTGTAAAGACAATTTGCTAAAGCCCAGCGTATTGGAGAGTAATTGGAGTTCATGTATGTGCCAAATGAGCCTTTGTAAGAATTGAGTTCTTGTGGAGCAATGAGTGAATGTGAAACGGCTGCCCCTGGTTGGACTGCACACACATACCAATCACAAACTATCGACTAACATCCGGAGATGGGGTGTTGTTTTGTAGTGTAACAGATTTTGCGAACCGCGCAGCAAAGAGACTTGAGGATCACCAGAAAGCTGGAGCTGCTTCAGTCACAAACCAGACCTGAGGCTGATTTCACAGGGCTCTACTAAAGCCAGAGGTTTTTATTTGACAGGTTATAAATCAGAGTAACCCAAAAGTTGAAACACTGGCTAATCAGCCATGCATACTTTGCACTTCCAGCTTTTATTATTATTATTATTTTTTAAGAGTCATAAGAAACATAAGAGAAGAGCAGCAGAAGCCTCATTAACTTTAATTTTTCAGAAGTCGTCTTCTGTTGCAATTTAATTAAAATATTGAGAAGATGGCAATTATAACTAACCGTTAGAAATTACGTTGCCAACAGAAGTGTCAAAGAAATTCTGAAACATTTAAAAAAATCTTAGAAAATGTGTTTTATAGATATATATACTGGGCAGTTTCCTCTCGGTAGGGAATAAAGTTTGTGGGATAAATATGGGTGCCACATGTGGTTCATTTATTCTTAAGCCCTCACATGGATCATACCTTAAACAGACCTGCATTTATACATCCATCCCCCTCAAAGCACTGATGTGGTGTGATGCATACAACTCCATATTCTTGGTTCTTTCTTTTCGAGCTCTGCAGGATTTTTTTTTCATGTGCACTGATTCTGGTTATAAAGACAAGAGAATAGTTGAACGCGATCATTTAATACATGTTTTGCATTTTAATACTATAGTTGTAGCATGCAACATAGAACTGCAATAAATGTATGCACCGAAAGATCACACAGCTCATGTCAGTCTTTGCTGAGATTACATTAGCATCATTGTCAGTGTGTTGATGGATACAGAGTAGAAATGCTTTGTGGATATTTTTTTTTTTTTTTTGAAATATTAATACAATAATAAATTTGAAATATATTTTGGGAAAATAGTGTCTCTTTATATTTTATGGAAGCTTGTTTCCACTTCCAAAAACAACTTCTATTTTTTGCTTTGGGATTAATGTCTCAAAATTTCAACTAAATAACTCAACTGACTCATGGGTGTCAAATGTTTTCCTTATTAGTGGACTCCTCAAACTTCCATAGTTGTTGGACTTGCAGTTGTAGTTTAAACCCATGGTTTCATCAAACACTTTGACCTAAAGGCAAGCTGACTGCCTGAGACGCAGTCTTCAGTCCCTTGAAGTGTGACCTGCTGAGCTTTTGGGTCATCCGTCCATCTTCAGGTAGTCGAGGCAGTGTTACTGACGAGAGCTATGAAAAATGCTAGTTAGTGGTTGTATAGCTAGGACTGTTGTGCAGTGAAAACAAAAGTGAATTTCAGTGTATTATAATTTATTTTTAATATATCTACTTGTTTTCTAGTGAGGTGCTAATATTTTAATATTTCTTACAAACTACACTTTGTCTAGAATTCCACTGGTAAAATAACTCGTATATAAAACCAACTTCCTGCTTTGCAAACGTTCATAAGTGGTGATGTAAAACTCTACAACCTTGGTGCTGTTGCAGTACAATGTGTAGTGTTATACCAAGAGTTTTGTGCATAAATCTAAACAAGTAATTTTTGGTGCTTAAACTTAACCAGCAAGTAAAAGCAAAACTTACAAAAGACAAGTGAGAACAAAGTGCACAAAGCTCCCCAAAACCACATTCTCGTATGTACGCTTTAAAACCGTAATGTTTGTTCTTCTAATATTGTGGCAGCCAGTATTTTTAAAACACAGACGACACAGGGGAGCAGCATCTGACAGTGTTTTACACGTTTAAGATGACAACGCAGGTTTTATATGCTCATAATAAAGAACAAAAGCAGCTTTTTTATCAGAGCAAGTATGATGGGAAAGCCTGTTCTACACATGCTCGTTAGATGTCCAACTCCCTTGTCTTGGTGACAGGCAGGCTTTGCTCTCCTGTCAGTAATGTCAGTCATCTCAGCAAAAAAACAAGGGCATCCAAAGGAAGGATCGCATGGCTGCCCCGGCTGCCATTCCTGCTAACATTCCCAGTGCTAGATGCTCCACCACGCCATCAAACGGGTCCCTTTGAACAACCACCTGGTGGGTTCCTAAAATATAGACAGAAAGAAGACACTTATACCATTTGTGTTAACATGACGGTTGCTTTGAATGTCTAGAAAAATAAGGGCAGATCAGGATTGTAAAAAGGGACAATGTCAGAACAGTCCGCAACTTGAAGATCATTGTGGTGCTGTGGATTGTGCACCGGTGATGAACTGAACTCATTTATTGACAAAGGCCTTTTTCCTGGTCCCGAATTTAAGTATCAGCTCGTGTCAAATCCCAGTTGTGCTTATTAAAATGAACTTAAACTAACTGGCATACAGTGTGCCGGTATTGCAGTATCGATGGGCTTCTGTGCAAAAACTAACCACAGTGCATGCGCGTATCTACCACTTCCACTGGAAATTTAAACGCAAGATCGTTTAAACATAAACAAAAAACATGAAGTCAAAACAGCATAAGCATCATTTCTGAATGAAAATACCTAAACATTCCCTGAGGTTATAAGAGAATGATCAGACTTCTGTTAGGAAGGCAACAGTAACTCAAATATCCACTGATTACATTCCAAGTTTGCAGAAGAGCATCTTTGAGTGTAGATGGGCTGCAGCAGCAGAAGACCACACTGGCCCAGCTAGGCCCAGGAAAATGACAATACAATTCACACAGGCTCAACAAAACTCTACAACCATGGGATAACACGCCATGTCACAAACTGTTTTCTTGAACATGACCATAACTTCATCATGCTGAAACTTTCTCCACAGTCACCAGATCTCAATCCAGCGGATCAGCTTTAGGATGTGGCGGAGCAAGAGATTTTTACATCGTGAACGTGAAGCTGATGAATCTGAAGCATGTGATGCTATCTTGTCATTGTGGACCAAAATGTCTGAGGATTGTTTCTAGTACTTAGTTGAATCCATGCCTATGAAGAACTAAAGCATTGCCAAAGCCAAAAGGGCCTTTTAACCCAGTGCTAGCAAAGCGAACATAAGTGAAGTGAATGTATAAAACACATGGCATAATACTTTCAAAGTAAAATCCTATAGGCTTTTACTTTTAATTGGGTTTTAATGATTTTCTTGAAGTATTTAAAGCCCCACTAATCTGCCTCTCAGCTAATTTACAGAGCAGGTGTGTGGACTTGTGTCCAGCTAAATGTAGACACAAATATAAAACACTTACAACATCATAAAGAAAAATTGTTATTAGCATACCAATTACTGTTATTAGTCTAAGCACTGCTCACTGTCACGTTTAAAAAAAAGGTTGCTTTGTTCTACTTAATTTATTGCTGATTCAAAGCACCGCCCAGCAGGAGCATCAAGTGCCCTAAATCTAGCTCCAGAATTCAATTAGCTCACAAACTGAGCAGATGTGTGGAGGCAAACAGTGCAGCAAGAAAGAGTACTCAGAGTAACACATGTCACATGTGGGAAACCTTACAAAAAATATGCATTATCACACATGATGAGGTTATACAGAGGCAATTGCAGTGAATGGTTCTGGGTTTTCTGACTGTTTCCTCACAGGCTACATACCAGCTACATCATAAGTGCTCAGTTCTTGTGGTGTGCCATGTTTTATAAAACATACTGCAGCAACCAAAGCAGTTATGGATTATTTAGATTACTGTTGAATTGTCTGCTTCTTTGGAAGAAGAAGACAGCTGCCATATTTCAATTCCCTGTTGTTTACAGGATTCAGAAAAGAGCCCTCATAAGCCAGCCTGTTTTTGCTCGATAGGATATGGTCTAGGATAATAAATGCAAATGAATGCTGTTGTTTTTGATCCAGTATATAGACCGCAGCATTAGATTTATTTAGTGTAGAGCTAAATGCTTCTTTAAAATGCTCCACTTGGTTAATTTTATTGTCCTAAAATTACAATATCAAAGGGAACTATTATAATTTTCCATACTTTAAAAAAAATGGCTACATATTATAGTATATGTACTATGTATTATATTAAGTCGATAATAAGTCTAGTTTTCTGTGTTAAGCTGTGATATCTTACCTGGTCCTGCTCCAGGTGTTATGTAGACAGTGTGGCGGCTATTGAGGGGGACAGCCTGGTAGGAGTCATCATATGGGTCATATGTGAACACCTACAGTGAAAAAAGCAAAGCACTACTTTTAGCTCTGTGGTGGAAACACTATCTGAGAGCTTGCTGATCGTGTTTAAGCTTTTTACAGAAAGCATGAAGCACTCACCGGGTTTCTTCTGGTCTGCAGCAGAGTCAGTTTCCACGCTCTGAAAAATAAACAAGCAGGACTGAGAAACTGAGGGACGGTTGTGAAGTAAAGCAGAGAATAATGAGGCGAAGCGTGAGTACCTACATTGATTCGTCTTCACTGTTTGCGCACAGGTTGAGTGTTGAGCCGTCCATGAGGTGAACCACGACGAGATTCTCCCTGGGATTGCTCTCTGGTGGAGTCACACCTGGAGTAAAATTAAAGGAGTAAATTACCCATATTTGTTAAAGGTAAACCAAAGGTGAGAATGAATGAGCTAAAGCTTCTTTCCTATTTTATAGCAAACTGCAACCAGGCCTACTGTAAGAATACACGTTTTTGCCATGGACATGGTAATCTATTATCATGAGATATTTTCTTCTAAACTTCTATACAGTCTGACCAACATGGTCTTTAAAATACTGCACATGTAAAGCACTTCTGTGTGTCAGCGTTCACACTTAAATAGTGATGGAACATGTTCGCTTCTGGGTATAATTGTATCACAGATCCGTGCCGTACCTCCACATTCCTGACCGGACTGCACATCTATGCATGCTAGTTTGAGACTGACGCGATGCTCCAGCTCTCGCCTGTTGTCTGACTTGTAAAAGCAAAGACTCCCATCGATCCAAAGGTCACACCAGTTGAGCTTCCAGCGTTTTAGGACAGAAGCTGGAGAGGAGACACATGCCACATTGTAAAATTAGTGCATGGTAAGGTGCTGGGATAACTTTAAACTTCAGTTTAACATCCTTCTGTTGCAGGCCTCACATCTCAGGTGATTTAGTAGTTGCTTTTGAATGTAGTCCCACCCCTACCCCTCCCACCAAGCAGGTGTATCTCCATTGAGTGTCCTTGATAAGCCACTTAAAGGCATGGCCAAGAACAAATAATGAGATTACAAGTTACAAAGTGTAGAGTTTCATAATGCGTGAAGTTTTCTAGAAAATCCTCAGTGTCGAGTTTGCAATCTGGTCACTAACACAAATACACAACACAACATACATGAAAAACAGCCCACATGTATTAGCTATGATTAGAATAAAGCTAATAAATGATTGTAGAATTTAAAGCTTTAAAACTCTGGGATGTTGTTATGAACCAATGCAGTATTGGTCATCTGTAGACACAAAGCATCTAACCGAGCAGTTAGCAGTTTGAAGCAGGCAGCTGTATTTAGTGAGCTGCTTTAAAATTCAAAGGATAGCCTTCACAGAGATATGCAGCACACTGCCTGTCCCACGATAAAATTGTAATCTGCAAAAATGCAAAAGGTTTCAAATACATTTCACTGTGCTAAGTGTTATCACTTTATTCAACGCAGTTTAACATTTACCCAAAAAGGTGAGATAAAATGTGCATGTAACATGCTACATGTCACATGTCTAGTCTAGATGTTGATGCTCATACTTAGTCAAACTCCTTAAAAACAGAAAAGTAAAAGAAAATGCAGTGGCCCTTATCACTACACTTAACAAATGCAGGTGAAATGGGTGAATATTATTTTAATTATAAGTCTTGTCCTGTAGGTCTTGTCTCTTACTGTGATGACTTATTCATCCATTTGCCTTTTTTTTTCTTAAGTAAGGATATCCCATCATCTGCTGTATTGTTAATTTTTTTAAAGCTGTCATGTGGCATGATGATAAAATTCAATCTTGTAGGCACACTCAAATGCACTCAGCTTAAAATGCATGTTTTTGAACTGTGTGAGGAAAACTGAAGAAAATTAACCGAGAGAGGCACAGAGAGGAAAGTCAGGCCCATAAAGGCCCCACTCACCCAGTGGGGCATTGTGCTGCACTGTGTAAATCTAATAGCGTTACACTGCATAGTGATACATTTTTTTCAGTTTTCCTGCAGAATGAGTACTTTAGATGTTGACAGAAAAGTAGATTTACCTTGTAATGGCCTGATGTTCTAAATGCAGGGCTTTCACCTGCATGGAGCATTTTCAAATTCTTACATTGGTGTTGACGACCTAAACACATCTTCAACCACTGCTTTTTAATGTTAACGTTTTCATGCATGAGCCTCATTGTCACATATATTTCGGGTCTGTATTAGAAAAGGAGCTGAGGGTGAACTGATACCCTGCTGGCTTCACACAACTCATAAACTTCTCTCTTCCACAGGAGCCCACAAAACTTCATGGCTGCCATCTGGTGGCAACATTATGTAGGCCTGTTAACTCCAGTGACGCTGACATATTCATGTTGCAGGTGATACTCTAAATGAAGAAAAAAATGAACTCACTAAAAGACACATGCCTTTTATTCTTTTGCCAGTTATATAAAGTTAGAGAACTGAAAACTAGTTTGATTAAATGCCATTTAATGGCATGAACTTTATTAGGAGCTATTGCTGTGCAGGCAAAAATGTAAGCAATGTTGTACAGTAATTATAAATCAAAACTATTCTGGCTTTATAAGTGAACTTAAATCTAACATACACATGTCGTTCATGTACAGTCATAGTGAATAATTTATTTTATGTGATAAACGTGTGTCAGTTCCCATCACTTTATGCACATCATTAAAAACGTGTTGTTTTTTTTAACTACATGAGTGTTAAAGCATTGGTATACACCGCAGACTGTATATAAATGTTTTATAAAATATATTTTATACATACAGTGATCTGAGTATTTGCCCAATACCTAATTCATTATTGGGGGGTGGGGTTTTGCATTTCTGTCACGTTTAAATGTTTTAGATCATAAAAAAACATTTCAACATTTCATTCATTCAAGGAAAGAAAAATTATCCAAACCTAGCCCTTGTGGAAAAACCCTGTTAAATGTGCCACCCTTGGCAGCAAGAACTGCAAATAAGCATATGTGATAAATGGCAATGAGTCTTTATCATCGCCGTAGAGGAATTTTCGCCCACTCTTCTTTGCAGAAGTGTTTTAATTCAGCTACACTGGAGATTTTTCAAGCTTGAACGGCCTGTTAAATATCATCTCAATACATCTTAAAAGGATTTAAGTGCAGACTTTGATTAGGCCAGGTTCGTCAGTGTTTCAACTTTTCTCCATTTGTGAATAATGGCTCTCACAGTGTCTTGATGCATGCTTAGTCATCCAGATAAGTAAATCCCCAAAAGTTGTTTCTGTTCATCTGGACGTCCAGATAAACAGAATCAACTTTTGGGGTTCTCACAGTGCTTCACTGGAGTCCCAAAGCCTTAGAAATGGATCTGTTACCCTTTCAGAGAGGCTGCAACTTCGTCAAACTGGCTGTAGCCTGTAGGCTTCCTTGATTCAACAAGGTCGGGCTATAACCAGGCGTGGGAGTAATTGAACTCAGCTTTTAAAAAACTGCCCGTAATCAGTAAACAAAAAAAATTGTCCGTTAAAGTAACCAGCTACAAAAAAAATCGTAAAAAAAGACTCGCTAAAAAATAAATAAAATAAAATAATAATAAGTTAATACTTAGCATGTATTCTTAGCTCCGTTCCGTTTTAAAGAAAATAACCCAGTATGAAGCAATTCTCGTATGAAGACGAGAGGGAAAAAAAACAGATATTTAAACTACGTAACTTCCGGTAGAGTGGGCGTGGTTTAAGCTGTCAACTAACCGAAGAACAACAAAAACAACCCAACCGCAGAGGGGGGTTCTGCCAAAGGTGAGTTCTGCACTCTCAAAAATGTACCGTATCAGGTGCCAAATGGAGCACGCGCAGTGACCCGTGTCGCTAAGTTTGGAGGCCCAGATAGTGAGTTTGATCCAACACTCAAAGAAATGTTTTTACCGATTTGAATTTACAGCCAACGTGTTGCACGCTTTTTGGAGGTAGGCAGTAGTGTCGTTGGCTCGTGCTGTGCTAAAATGTTCAAACACACCAGGTTGCACTGTTACAATCTCAGCTTCCAGTTTGTTATCCTTAAGCTAGCGACATCATACAGCTAGGCCTCCGTCTGAGCAGTCAGCCCCCCACCCCACGAAGCGACGCTCGTTATCTGACTGTAACACCGTTTCCCCGGACCCTGTTAAAAATATATCTGTTTAAAATAGCTTCGCGTAACAGCAACTGTGTGCAAGGTTTACAGTAAGACTTTTGACCTTTTTATGACTCTTTGTGGGTTGACGTTCATTTCGGGTAGCATTAATCCATTTCGTTGTTTGTTATTTTCTGAAAAACGTCATCTTTATTGACAGTTTGGTAGCATTGCAGGTTGAACTTCACCGCTGTGAGCAGTAGCGAGCAGCTGATAATGTTTAACTTTTTTTATACATTACAAAATCTAACTTCCTGCCCATTGTGTACGCCGAACTGAGCAAATGGTGCTGAAGAAACATTTGAAACAAAAAGATTCCAGAAAAAAGTAACAAATTATAACAGGGGTTTAAAAGTGTGTGTTTAAACTGTATAAAACAATGACCTCAGGTTAGTCATGACATATGTCCATTAGAACTTTTTCATTTCAGTGCATGGCTTCAGGGCTTGGCTGCTCCCCAGTTATACCACATAAACAGTTGTTTTCGTCTCAAGCACCCAACTGTCAGCTTACCTTTCCTTTGTTTGTCACATAAATGCAAGTTTCACCACCTTTGATGTGGTGTCAACTCTATCTTTCTTTGCATTTTTTTTTTTCACATATTCTGGTTATTTTACGGCTGTAAGCTTAAAAATACGTTTTCCCTGCTTATGTTTCTCGTCATTTTCTCACAGCAGGGACCGAGGCATGTGATCTGATGTGGTGTTGAAAACAATCTTTCCTTTGGTCTCTGCTACATCAGAGGTAAGAATCAGGTGGGATCTGTGTAATGAGAAACGATCTATGACAGAAACATCAGACAGAGTCCGGATGAAACACTCAGTCTTTTGACAAACACACTTCAGGTGGGCTCAGTTTAAGATGATCAGACTCCGTTTGTCTGAAACTGATAGGGCTGATCGGGGTTAAAGTGAGGCTGTTGAGTGCAAGGTGGATAGGCAGGGTCGAGAATGTATGTTATTGTGATGTATGATTACCAGTTATTGAGCCTGCCTGGAGGGTTTTTTTGTCTATGGATTCTAAACCAATCCACACATTGAAAAAGCTACATTTTCTCTGGATTGAGTTAAACAATTACTCATGAGATTAATCATTTTACAGCAAAAATGGCAACAGAAATTGTAATCATAGCAGAAAATGGGTTTCAGTAGGAACAGGTGGCTTCGCTGACAGCTGTGCACCTGCTCTCCTCAGTGCTGCTGTGCCTCTCACGTTTCAGCTGTCTGTGACTTGTAGGTTATTCTGTGATGTTCGTGGGTTATTTTTAGACCTTTTTTTATTTTTTATCTTTTAACACCTGCACAGAAAAAGGTAAAACATAGACAAGAAGTGTCAGCCAGCAGGAGGAGCAGGACTAAAGTTTGAGGTGGTTAAAGTGGAAGTCAGTGGTAGCACATTTGTGTCCCTTTGTTTAGCACTTTGAATGAAGGACAACCCAACACTATGGGGAAAATGCCATGCACAGGCACTGGTTGGCCATAACAGGATTTGGAGCAATCACAAGTGATTCATACCCTGAGTAATCCTTATGTGCTAAATCTACACCATAGGTACGTCATAATTATATACCCTTATGAAACTCTGTTGTAACTACATTTCGGCGTGGTGTCAGCCACTTCTCTACAGGCTCTACAAAGATTCAAGAAATCTAATTTGAGCTTTCGAATCACATGCAATTACAAAGTAGAACTGATTTTTTTTATTCAATATGAGCCGCAATTAGTGATTGATCTGTGAACTTGTCAGTAAAGTGCTTACTGAGGTGGAACAATGACTGTGGAACCACTGCTATCGCCCCCTGGTGACCATTTAAAAGACAGCAGGCTTAAAGCACGTCCACCAAGCATAGGCAATTTTCCCCAAGGGTCCACATGAGAAACTGGGAGTGCTGTGGAAGGCGGCACCAATTAGGTAAACTCAGTATTTAATTTCATCTCTTTCTGAACTTATTGGTGAAACCTTGCACAACATTTTCAGATTCTCATGTGAACTTGTGGAGAAAATTAATTGCCCACCACTGCACATGGCCTTCCTGTTAGCTACAGGCCACTAATACCTATAGGTAAGGGGTGGGGAACTCCCACAGCTGATTTAAATCGCTAAATTACCTCCTCAATATGTCTTGAAGTTCTCCAGAGGCCTGGCAATGAACTAATCATTGGATTCGGGTGTGCTGACCCAGGGTGTTATCTAAAACCTGCAGGACACCAGCCCTTGAGGCCTGTAGTTCCCCCACCCCTGTTATAGGTGATAGAAAGGTGATTTTTTTTTTGTGTGTACAAAATACTTGAAACTCTAAAATGCTTCAGGCAAGCTGCCACTATAGTTCTAATAGTTTTGCTGGTGGTACTAGTTCACCTGGTTCCACTGTTGTCATGTTTCTGAAAATGCTCACTCAATTTGTTTTGCATATGTGGGCTTTGAATGACAAATGTCCAGAGTAGAGGGCGCTTTATGCTTCTCCAGCTTCTTTCACAAATGCAGTTTCAGATGTCAGCTTAGACCTTTCCTGTAGGTAAATTATTTAATCCACATGGTCACTCTGAGCTGTGTATAAGGAGCATTTTCATAGTGCCGAAGATTTTTTGGACAGTCACTGTGAGGGATGAGCTGTACTGTGCTTTGAGTACTTTGCACCAAAAGTATGTTTGTTTGTGGAGAATTTCAGCATAGGTGAAAACAGAAGCAGATGCTAACAAATGAAAAGCTTATCCCAATGTTTTTCTTCATTTATACAGGATTTTTATTAACAGCTACAAAATCTGCAAAAAAGTGATAAAAAGAAAAATGGAAACAAATTGAGGGGAAAAAAGAAGAAAATCTGGAAAAGTAGACTCTGGGAGGTGACTGTGCCCATAAAGCACTGTGTGAGATTAGAACTTTAGCATTGGATCACCACGCCTGCTAAACGTACGTCCCATTCTAAATTCCTTAACAGACATCAGCCCCAAAAATCCAACACTGAGAATTCTCTAAACACCACGTTAGACATGCAGGTTACATGTAAATTAAGCAATACAATTTTGACACTTAAAGACCTAAAACTTCAGTAGGGTCACATATGTTTTGGGAGGAAACTTGATTTTCATACACATTGTTGATAAACAGTGTAAAATATCTCCAGCTTTATCCTTTAAAAGACATATGTAACAGCTGTCCTGATGTAATTGTCATGTTTCCATAGCATATCTTAAAAGCGTCTTTTTTTCCCCCTTTGGTCTCTTACATGGATACCTGTTCAGGACTTGAACCATGGAGTCCTCTGATGAAGATGAGGTGCGCACCTTTGTTCAAGTCCTCAGTGAGAAGTATAACCCTGAGAATTTCCCCTATGGCCAAGGCGTAGGAGTGGTTGTTCTGCCCAGGCCTCCAGGATCCCCTGTCAAAGGTGAGAGATGACAGAGCGAGCTATTTCAGGGCTGTGATGATGCCACGTGAGCAGTGTATCACTTGTGATAAGTCCAGCCCGGCATATCTGCCTTTTTATTTGGAGTGTTGAGCTGTGAATGAGGCTCTGAACTGACTCGAGTTTCCTGTTTGCAGATCGCCTCTTCTTGCCCAGCGCACTGGTTCTGAATGACAGTGGAATCAGTAAAGCCGGCGACAGGCAAGACATCGCTGCTTCCTGTGCCCACGTGGTAGAGCTCGACCTGTCCCACAATCAGCTGAATGACTGGGGAGAGGTGGGGGTCTTGGCGTTTTAATTGAACTTAATAAGGTTTTTCATAAAAGCAGAGCCATCTGGCTTTTGTTCAAGACAATTTAGTTGGAGTGCTGTCTGTATGTTACCATGTCAGCAGTTAAAAAGGGCTTAAATGGACACTAGTAAATGCTAGTCACAGGTTTATAAGATTAAGGTCTTTGTTTTGATGGTTATTTTGGTGTATTAAAAAATGAATATAACACATACAGATAAAAAAATAGAAGTTAATCTCTCTTTATTGTTAGTAAGGATGCAAGCCTGGGATGTCAAACTCCTTTTACATTGTGGGCCACAAACAACCCACTTTGGTCTTGAGCGGGCTGAACGAGTAAAACTTCCCTTTCTGTCAGTAATAAGAAGTTTAACCACACTTTATTACTTTATTACTTTGGCATAGTATGAATGGCTGTGGGGGAGGTGTTTATCAGGAGGAAAAGCTGTAAAGCTTAATACAGTTGAAAGTCCAAAAATGTATGCCCTCCTTCTCATTTTCCAAAGCCATCCAGTTGGCCAGTTTGGAGTCTTTGCCGGGCCGATTGTGCCCCCGGACTTTATGTTTGTAAGTTAACTGGAAAGCATGTAGATTTTTAGATGGTTATTCACTGATTCCATCTAGCCTCTATTCATCATCATTCTTTTCTTTTTGTTTGTTTGCATATGTACTGTTAATAATTAAGTTCTTAAGGTTGGGTTGTGCTGCATTGTCATTTAGCCGTGTCTACAACACAAGGCCCCTTAAAAAAGTTGCACAGCCCTTGTTATCCCCCTCTCACAGTGCTGTTTGTTATTCAGCCGAGTGATACCGTGATGAGGGCTGTAGGCACAGTTCCCTTCTGCTGTGCCAGCTGGAACACCTGGTACCTCTCAGGTTAACTGGAGTACTCATTTATTAATAAGCAGGGTTGGATACATTTTTTTGTATGAACCAATAAATACATACACCACATATTCATTTAATATAATAATCTCTTCTTCTGTCATTCACATGGGTTTAGTATTAAGTATTTTATTTGCCATCTAGAAGCCAAAGGTGCTAGCTCATCTAGAGTGAAAACAAGTCAATGTGAAACTCAACCAGACGCTACTGATGTGGATTAATTATCAGCTTTTTAAACAGAATGAAGGAAAATGTGAACACGGTACAGAAACACTTTAAAAATATGCCTGTTCAAGACTATCTATGGGTTGTATTTAAAGATGGATGACTCGGAACTTACCTAGAATTTAAACCGCTGTATCTCATTATACAGCTTATGTGTACTAGAGTTATCTAGCTAATCAACAAGCTCTGAAAATAATGGTTTTCAAAGTAAAAGTGTTTTGAGAAGCTCTGTAACTTGTTTCCTCTTTTTCTTTGTTCTGTGTCCTGATGCTCCTGGTTTTGCCAGATCGGCACCATCGTTTCCAGCATCCCACACCTGGACTTCCTCAATCTGAGCATGAACCCGCTAAGCGGCGTGCAGCTGGAGCCGAACATGGCAGAGGTTTTTTCCAGGGTCCGACGACTGGTCCTCATTAACACACAAGTCAGCTGGGACACTGTTCACACACTCACGCAGCACACACCAGAGTAAGTGACAAAGCATGGAAAAAGGTTTTATGTTCTTTTATGTGTGGCAATGAGAGAATTTGTATATTTTTGTCTAAGCGTCTGCATATATAGAGATTTACAGTGTTTTAAGAGTTCTCTCTGCAGTCCTGTGAAAAACTAAGTACACCTCTACTACTTCCATGGGAGGTGTGAGAATAAGTAGCAGCCAGTTGCTAATGGGACACATTTAACTCAACAAATGTGAGCACCTCTGAAAAAGCAGACGTTTTGGTAGCCTACTGCTAAGGGGATGTCTGAGCAAATTCACTCCAGACTGAGCAATACTCAGAGAAACTGATAAAAGCCCAACAGCTACATCTCAGACTCTACAGCCCTCAATTAGTGTCTAAAATTGGAAAGTTTGTGACAACACAATTTTTTTTTTTTTTAAACTGAACTTGTTAGTAAGGGTTTCCGGGCTTCTTCACTCTAAAACAAACATGGCAGGGATGTTTAGGTTTGCTGAAGTTGACAAAACTACAACAGAATGACTGAAAAAGAAAACAATGAACATGTTTCAATGACCCAGTCAAAGTCCAGAACTCAACCAAGCTGTTGGGAGATGTGTATTAAAGAATGCCCACAGACCTCAATGTTGTAAAGAAGAGTGTGCCAGTAGTCCTCCAGTGATGTGAGAGATGACTCTTAAAAACAATTGCCTCACATAATTGTTGCTAATGTGGCTCTACAAGCTACTGAGTCATAATGAATCACTTAGTTTTTTGTGCCACTCTGACCACTCAGAGTTGCTCAGAACATTAGCGAGCAGATTAGTGATGCGTTCCTCCTTTATCTTGAGCACACAGATGTAGACTCAACAGGAATTCCAGGAAGTTATGCCCCACCTTGCCATGTTTAGGGAGGTTGGGTTGACGCATGAGGAGTAATGGTTGGTTGGTTTAGCCACAAAAGAAGAAATCTTTTCAATTTTCGTCAACAAGCCAGGGCTGTGCCAGTTCCAATCAGCAGGAGCCTCGCTATCATGGCTCTGAATAGGTAGATGTCTTCAACGTCCTCCAATGTGAGTGTTGCCAGGCTCGTTCCACTGAAAGGCTGTCGTGTATCTGCAGCAAATGTTCAGACGATCAGGCTCCCCCGCGCCCAGGTTTCTCGTCGAGAGGGTGTCAATAGTGTTTAATATAATTCAGTCCAGTTTTATTTATTGTAAACAAGGTAGAGAACTCAGAACATATGGTGACAATTGGAAACACGATAACAGCTGCCTTATTCTTTTGAAGAATCAAAAGCACCTTAATGCATATTACACAGATTATACAAAGAATCTTTGATGTCCTCAAAAATGCCAGTTTCCTTGCACCTCATCTTCCAGGCTGGAGGAGCTCTTCCTGTGTCTGAACGGCTACAACAGCGTGTCAGAGTCCCAGACGACATGCCCGTCGCTACGCCTGCTGCAGATTACAGATAACCAGCTGCAGGATTGGGCAGAAGTGAGGAAGTTTGGGCTGCTGTACCCCAGTCTGAGCACACTGGTGCTGGCCAATAACAGCGTGGACTCTGTGGGAGACACCAAGGAGACACTGGAGCACCTCTTCCCCAACCTGCGTAGCATCAACCTCAACAATTCAGGTCGGATTCCTAAAAGTCTTTTAATCTGTCTGTATTCAGTGCAAGGTGTGAACAAATAGCCCTATAACTCATGTTTATCATTATTATTATTATCATTATTATTATTATTATTATTGTTGTTGTTGTTATTCAGGTCTTAGTAAATGGATTGACATTGAAAGGCTGAATTTCTTTCCCAAACTGGTGGAGGTCAAAGCAAAGGGAATCCCTTTACTGCAGTCTTACAGCACCGAGGAGAGACGTAGCCTCCTTTTAGCACAGTAAGTCTGAAGCTGTGTGCTCGTTTGTTCAGTAACTTCATCATCGAAATACTCATTGAGCACTTTTAACACCCGACTGCTGCACCTGCCCTCAGGCTGCCCTCCGTAATGGTGCTGAACGGGGGTGCCGTGTCTAATGGTGAGAGAGAGGATGCTGAGAGGTTCTTCATCAGATACTACCAGGACTGTCCAGAGCAGGAGCGTCCCGAGAGGTGGAGCATCATCCACACATACATTTTTCACTGCACACATAATCATAGTGAATAAGTTTACTCATGGATAATAATAATAATTCAAAGCTGCGGCTGACCGCTGCCGCTGTAGTAACTAGTAGAAGTGGACGAGGAATAATATGTAGTCTCAAAAAGACACTTTGCATATGCAGTGGTGCTGATGGCCAGCTAAGCTGCGTGGGTAGAAGTTGGCGTTAGGCAACTGTGTGAATTGTGAATTTATCGTTAATTAAAATTATCCATTAGCTTTATTTCTTCTTTTTTACTTTTTGAGGGGTTTCTTTGGATCATTTAAGTTTGTTAACTTAGTGATCTGCATCCTAAAACAAGGTAGAAAATTAACATGTAACTAAATTTCAAAGGCACACACTCTCCAGATGGAAAGGATCATTTGTAGCCAGTGTTTTGAGAAACTGTCCTACTTTGGCAAATCGTCCTACCCATATTATAATTTGACGGCGACTTGTGACTAATACAAACCATAACCATAAGAAATATTCACAATGGGTTAAAAAAATGATGTAAATTTGGGGTTTGTGTTACGCGTATGCGCAGAAACGATGGGTGGGATGGTTTGTGAGGTAGGATAGATTCCCAGAACACCGGTTCTCATTTCGTGGCCATATTTCAGCAACAGGTTTTGTACAAAAAAAGTCTAAAACTCAGAGATATTCAGTTAAACAATCTTCTTCTTTCAGATGTTTCCTTTAGGGGTCATCACCCTCTAACCCTATCCCTAGCGTCCTCCTCTGCATGTGCTTCTTCACTATATCGATGAACTTTCTGTGAGGTCTTCCTCTCTTCCTCCTCCCTGGCAGCTCAATATTTAGCATCATTTGTCCAATGTATCCACTCTCTCTTCTCTCCCAAACTATCTGAGCCTCGCCTCTCTAACTTTATCTCCAAACTGCTGAACTTGAGCTGTCCCTCTGACATCCTCGTTTTTAATCATTTCCATTTTGGTCACTGCCAGTGAAAACCTGAGCATCTTCAGCTCGGCTTCCTGTCTTTTTGTCAGTGCTACTGTCTCCAAGCCATACATTATAGCAGCTCTCGGTACCATCTTAAAACCCTGTCCACTCCACCCCTGACTGCACTTTGTTTTCTTGTGCACTGTCTTGCTTTGGATGGTTGAGCCTGGTTCTGCCAGAGGTTTTTTTCCTCTTAAAAGGGAGTTTTTCCTCCCCACTGTCCCACAAGTGCTTGCTCATAGTGGGTGATATGATTGTTGGGGTTTTCTCTGTATTGTTGTAGGAACTTTACCTTACGATATAAAGCTTCTTGAGTGTTCGACTGTTGTTGTGATTTGGTGCTATATAAATAAAACGCAACTGAATTGAATGTAGCTGAGTTTAAACCATTGCGAAGAAGAATCAGTGTTGGTCAGATTTTACTGAAGTTTTTATCAAAGTCACATTTATCGATTTGCGGGCAGTAACCCTTGAGCGGTGATGGATCGTGAGCCTGATGAGCTACTACAGCACTGACATCTTTTGGCTTGAGTAAATAGCTAACATGATAAATTAAAAAATATATTGTGTAGCATTATGTTGATCAATAAATTGTTGTTGTTGTTTTTTTCAGCTCTAAAATTTACATCAGATTGTTTTCATCATTGCTTCATTACAACATTCAAATGAGACATTTAGAGTAAAATTCATATTGAAAGTCTTCACTAAATACCTTAAATATGGAGCACAAGGCGCCAGCACTGGCTTTCAATTAGAAAGCTAAGCGGCATTTACGTTTGCATTATATTCATATGGGAACACCTGCTGATTCACAACATTAGCAACCAATCTCCATCCCTGTCCTCAGTTTGGGTCCAGCACACTATATGTTTTTTTTTTTTGCGGGGGGAGGTTGAAAGCCTTCCTCGGGGGGGCTCGCAGGGGTGAAATAATTCACCAACTGCATTCCACTTAACCTCAGCAGAATGTTGGGGAGGGATTTCTGGAGGAAGGTGTAGTCCCTGACTGGGGGAAACTAACCTTTGGGAGACAATGCCACCACTCTCTCCCTGCTCAATGAGTCCTTTGTGCTGGGAATTCTCTGATTGGGAAAACTGATACACCAGGTAGCAGGTTGTTTTTTTTTTTATGTATACACCTACTCTGTCAACCTGAAGCCTTAATTTGAGAAATTTGATTTGTTTTCTGATGTCACATGAGCTGTCACAGCACTCCTGGCTATAAATTATTTTATTAACTGTGGCAGAACTTGTTTGTCCATCAGGAGCAGTTAATAGTTTTTTTATTTCTATGTCAAACACATTCATCGCCATCTAAAAACTTCATTTTCTTTGTGTTCAGCTTCATCGCTCTGATTTTATTTTTGTCCATCAAGTGTTGCGTTTGCGGTGTTGGTTTGGGAGGGGTTCGGTGTAGGTCCAGGGTCGGGTATAACCGTGACTGTGCATGTGCATGCGGGCGTTATCGGGGTGTCAGACACACTCAGTAGGCACTAGGCAGTGAGCGCACAGCTATCCCCTTTCCTTTCGGATGAGGCTGCGGCCTCGCTACCCCAAGAGATCAGAGCTCTGCAGGTGGGTCACAGCCTCTCAAGTGAACACATCTGACACAGCCTGGCTTTGAGTAACTATAAACGTGTTCTCAAACCATAAACTAGACTAACTGAGATGGATACACCCCAACAATTCCTTGAAAAAAATGGGAAAGGGAAGAAAACAGCACTGGACAGGAAGGATTAGTGGCGAGAAAGAGTAGAGGCAAGGGTTAAAAAAGAAACCAGAGAGTCGGCGTATCCGGTGAAGTTAGCAGTTAGTGGGTCTAAACAGAGCCACAGTCTCAGGGAAAGACGTGGGAAAATTTACATTTTAACTTTTTGAGGTGCTCATACTTTCAAGTAAATAACTGGAGAAATGAGAGATTGAGTCGATGAAATGCCAAAACAGGAGAGCTCAGCTACATGGTGTCTCTTGGCTTCCCAATCTTGTAATTTCCTCCGCAGGAATCAAAGAATGCCAAAATGACAGTTGGAATGTCGGCTTCTTATCACCCGCAGCATTGTTTGCCCCATTATACCATGCTTACCACCTTAAATGAAGCCTCTTTGGTAAATGGCGTCTCTTAGAATGGCACTTTGTGCACTGTGGCCTTAGTGGAGAATTCCCAGGGTGGACTGCAAGTTTGGCCAGAAAATCCCAGGGCCAGGGCAGCGGCTTTGTGGAGGAGTTTTGGGGAGGGAAGTGAAATTGCTTTGATTGGCCCAGCTGTTACAGTAGCTTTGAAAGCACAGGCCTTTTCTCCTGGATTTTATTTAATCGTTCCTGGGGCCTTATCTCGAACACGCATTCCCCTGAGATGGCTGAGAGCTTTCTCACGGCAAGCAAGTGGCAGACAACTCGGTGTTTCTCTGCCTCTTAAACACTCATAGCTTGTTTCCATAACCCTGAGTTTAAAGTCTTTTTAAAAAAATCTGAAATATCTTAAATATACTTGCTGTTTCTATTTCACACCTGTACTTCATCTAAGAAGGAAAAAAAGAGGATGTATAACCTGTGAGTCTGAAAAGTGAAGCCAGTGTTGAACAGCCTTTTACCTGCATTCTTCATAACAGCCAGCAGAGGGCACAAAGAGAAGTCTTGTCCTATACAAGTCTATAAGAAGATTGCCCTGCTTTTAACTTGATTCGTGACCTCATGAAGCATTTTCACAATGACTTTATCATCTCTGTCTTTAGTTTTAAGTGTTATTTTGTACAGCTTGTTGTTAAATTTCTAGATTTTGATTCCATTTAGAGTAAATCAGTGCTAAAACACAGTGTGATTGTGACATCAGAGGGCAGGGTGGAGCCGTAGACCAAGCTGCTCTTTGAATGTCGAAATGAAGCCTACATCCTATCATTAGTACAGGGTGTATGTTATTTACCATAGCAACAATGGGGGGGGGGGGAGGCAAAGAGACACTGTGGTCTACCTTAAAAATGCCATTATGTGTTATCATGATTATTTGGGCAAATATTTTTCCATATATTTGTAGAATAACATGCAGGCATGTCTGACAAACTCATTTTTCAGTTAGTTTTGGCAAATATTCAAAAATTATATGCATATAATGAGCTAGTTAGCGGTTAGCATACCCTGGAAAATCCTCCTTTCTGAAACTTAGAATGGGTGCATTTATAAAAGGGTCTTAATGTTTTATTCAGAATGACCTGAACTGAGTGGATGAATTCAGCAGGAAAGTGTTTCTAGAGGCCAAGCCTGAGGGCTGTTTTCCCATAGACTCTTATAGTACCAGTCTGTTTGCAGTCATAGATATCACTACCTCCTTGCAATTATAAAAAAATAAAGATTTAAGGGGTTTTTCACACCTGCGCTGTTTAGGCCGTGTAAATCAAATTCTGGTCTTTTTTTATTTAATTTATAGTCAGAACATAATCTGACCTCCATCCAACCCCAACTACCAGGTGTGCGCTGCTAGTTTGAGATAAATGCCTCCTCGTAGTCAGATGTGCTTTGCATCCTAGGATGCGGCAGAAGACCATACACATGCAGAGAGCTCAAACTGTAGCAGCTAGCTGTGGAATAAACCAAAGGTCCAGAAGACAGCATTTCCCTTCATTGGCCAATAAGCAGAATGCCTGCTCTGCCACGGTTTGTGGTGATGCATTTTTGGTTGACTTGGAGTTTTCTCTCTGTAAAAAGAAACAAAGCCATGAGTAAAAGCCACAAGTTTACAAATTCATCAGCTGATTAAGACTAAAGAAACTAGAGGTGTTAAAACACCCTGAGATACTTTGCAAGGGCCTCACTTTTCAGAGACTATGTAGTCACTGCCATGTCTGAGAAACGCCATACTTTGTGTGGTAGATTTCAAGTGTATGTCTTGTAGGAGTTTGTGTGTCTTTGCTGTATGCTGATGTCATTCAGTTGAGCTGATAACAAATAAAAAATAACACAAGCTCTGCTTTGTTGCAGGTACCGTATCCTCGTGTCCAAATATGGCCACCTGGCTCCACTGGCTGAGGTAGACCTGAGACCCAGCCTCACCATGGTGGTTGTTCGCTGGGGTGACAGGGTGGAGACAGTCAGCCTCCGTCTGGAGCAAACAGTGGGTGACCTAAAAAAACACCTTAAGGGTCTGCTGCAGCTACCCAATGGGATGAGGCTCTTCTACATCGACCGAGAGATGTGTTCAATGTTTGGACCAGAGGAGCTGAAGTGCGGCACCCGGGCCCTGCATTCCTACGGCATTCGAGACGGGGACGAGATCCTGGTAGTGCCCAGGGACAAAAGCCGCTGCAGCTCCTCGGGTCTTTGAGTCGGGAGGTTCTCCACTTCTGGATGACTTGGATTGGAGGAATTGTAGAAATGATAAATTACTGGATATTACGCTTTTGACTTGAACCCTTTTTTTAGATATCAAAAAAAGGGTGGGTGTTTTTGATGGTAAAGAGGTTTGCTGTCTAAAATCTTGATCACATTTATGCAATAGTACATTTGCACATAGTTGTTCGATATTTACAAAGACTTGAATGCAAGTCGCACATTTCTATGCTTCATGTGGCTTGAGCTACAAGTGCAGTTTACATCTTATTGATGAAGCATAAAAAAAATATCAAAAAGTTCTAGGACTGCTCCCTTAATGGCCGAAAAACCATACCTGACTCGAAATTTGGCCGTTCTCCCCTTCAGGGTCTTCCACATGTGCACCTCTGGATAAATATCAGTCTTGTTATGACCACTTCCACTTGTTCTTCTGTTTGCTGGATATCTTTTGCAGTCAAAACAGCAGTCATTCAGCTTGAATTTAATTTCTGAGAAAACAATGGAAATTGCAGGAAGGCAGAGCTGGTAGACTTGAGAGCCATGTGCCATGCATATGTCATATGTGTTTACAATCCAGGTCCTTCCCCTTGAATATTGTCCATCAAGACATTATAGTAGATCTCATGGTCTTTAATAGTGGACTGGCTGACCTTGGAGGATGCCAAGAACGTGTGGGCATCCTCCTCTCTGCTATTTTTACCTGATGTTGAACTTTTAGGCTTGAAAACTGGACTGTTTGTTGAAAAACTGTTTGTTTAAGCAAGTCCAAAGAAAGGCAAGTGCAGGTGGTAAGAGCAGGCGCATCCAAAGAAAGCCACCGCGCTAATGTGATCGGGATAGGCACAAGAACACAACCTCGAAGGGGAGTTCAGCCAAATTTATATCTGATGTGTTTTTAGATTTTTAGGGGCTGCAGAACATTAAGATCATACTTTCCTTCATACAACTGTCTTTAATTTTTTTTTAAATTGTTTCCCTTATTATGAATTAAATGCATAAATTGCACACCAATTTTAAAACTAAAATCACCTTATAATTAAAGCATTTGAAGGGTTAAAACAAACCTTCTAATCCCTACTGTTGATATTTCTGCACCAAACTGAGAACGAATTAGTATTTTTAAAGAGCGAATACAATAAAATTAGGAGACAAATATAAATTATACACGATTTCAGATTCAAATTCATTGGATATCAGAAATGCCCTTTCTGAGAATACATTCTGCCACTTTCATTGCACATTGTTCCTCCGTAATGATTACACTTTGATCAGCATTGTCATTTTTCTCCATGTTTCTTTTGTAAAAGATGAATTGATGCCTGTTCGCTATAAACTGGCTGCAGGAGATTTTGTACAGTCTGGGCTAAAATTGTTCCAACCTATTACGTTCTCCAGAAGCAACCATGACGACAAAAATAAATAAATAATAATAATCATACTGCAATGATTGCAACTAATCAGGCTTTAAACGTGGTCTTGATTTTTTTGTAGTGCCAAGGTTTTGTAAATTGGGCACCATCCATATTTGCACTGCATTAAAAAAATTACGTTTTATTTACATTTTCATGATGATGACAGCCTCAAAGCACTGCTCTACTTTTCTAACCATTATTTAAGTGGAGAAGATTTTGTTTTGTTTTGATTTCCTGCAGGAAGAGTTTGTAGATAAGCAGCACATGTAATTCCCTACTTAGACTTTCTCCACGCGATTGTAGTGAAATTTCCCGGAATAACCTGCAAGCTGATGCATAAATGCCATGTGTTGGGTGTAACGTGCACGCGCAGACTCGCACACACACTCGGATACCTCTCAGTCGAGACGCCCTGGCAGAAAGACGAGACATGTCTGAGGTGAGCTCGGGTCTGGGACAGAGAAAAGAAGGAGTGTTGATGCTCAAGTTACCGCAGGTCTTCTGGCTGTCCTGCGCATGAATGGAGCGCAAGAGCAGCTGAGAAGCGCTGAGGCTCACTCTGTATGGTAACCACACACCAGCTGCTGTGTCACGGACACTTCCGCTGGATTTAAGTTGGAACAGGTTCACCAAACAGCTTCTTGGCCCTCACCGGTCCACCCGAGTCTCTCTCCTTTACATTTCCATCTCACAGACACCCAAACTTTTAGTTTGCGCTGTTTCGCAGGTCCTGGTGTTGTGAGCTTTCAGCAGGAATTTTTCAACCCATCTTATTGCCTGAACATTTATTTTACTTTAGCTGACGAGACTTTGGCTGTTGGTGTCTGCTGTGTTTTACCAGCTGGAGCATTACAGATGTAGTCACTTAAACTATGTGTCATAACAATACTGGTGCATTTTTTTTTCACGTGTTCGTTGGTAGCAAGTGAAGTTATTTGGAGTTAAGTGATTGTTGCTGTGGTTCTTTCTCTAATTTAGACTCTAATTAGAGCTCCCAGGTCAAAATGCTTCTCTTGAGCGTCCGCAAATAAAGTGTTTTGTTGTGCTTATGCAAGCATGTGAACATGTGCTGGGGTGCACTTGTCCTGCGGCAGGCTCACAGTGCCATCTGGACTGACAGATTTTCTTTGTGTAGTAGATGACTGGAGATCTCTTTGTTTTATTGACTTTTATTAATCTGTATTATGATGAGTGGGCTGTTGAGAAGTGCTGGGATAAGTGTGAGGGGTTTGTTTTGTTTTGTTTGGATCATTGTGAGGTTGGTTTGCACAGTCTCATATGTCTTTGTTTCTTTCAGCATTTCATCATTTGCAAGACGTGTCATTTCAGGGAAACGATGTTGTTTTATGGGCATTTGTAATTTTGACATTTCTAGAATATTAACTGCGCCTGTCACCTTTTTATCTATCCTTCAGTAATACCAAAACAGAGTTTATTTACAGATTTTAAAAAGTTTTAAAAAAAGTAGATGATCTAAAGTTCACTTTGCCTTGTGCTGGTTAGTGTGTGGTGTTTAATTTATATTTCGTTTGCTCTCTGTATTGCTTTTCTTCCGTGCACTTTTAATTCTTGTTTGCATTACTGCAATCTTTCTATACCTGTACTGTATAATGGTGCTTTAACTTCTCTTAAATAAAAAAATAAATAAATACTGATTGTTCCAGCTAATTGCAGTGTTATTTTTTCATAATAATTCTGCAGTAATAGTCAATACCTATAGTGTGTGGGGGGATTTTTTTGTGTTTAGTTTTTTGTTTTTATCTAATTCGGGACATTAAATGACCCCACACAACTGTTCATTATCCAGTTCATATGGACACTATAGCAAACATACACATATCAACTGTAGGAAACATTTCTAGCATGTAAAAATACCACAGTGAGGTTATGAATGAGTTCATCTGTCACTTTAAGACCCATACAGGGAGACCTCGGTTGATTGGTGGATTCAAACCTTCTTGCTGTGGGTTGATGTGACAGATTTTCTTTTTTTGTTTCGTCATTTATTTGACAATTAAGTCTGTTTTTCCCAGAATGTCCCCATTTTATTTGGCTTTTTTTGTATTTAAATGTACTTCTTTTTTTTTTTAATGTAGAACATGTCTTTATGAAGTTATCAGTTTTTCATTATGAATTTGACTTTTGGGAGCAACTGGCCTTTTTATTATTATTATTATTATTAATTTTATCATGTTTTCCTGTCTAGTGAGTTTAGTTTTTTCTTCTTTAATTTGCCCCTTTTTATATTTTTTGTCATAAATTTGCCCGTTTTGATCTTGAATACTGCTATTTTTTTTCTCATGAACTTGTCGTGTTTTGTTTTTTTTTGTTTTTTTTGTCATATGTTTGCAAACCTGCACAGCCACTTTATTCTTTTCACTTTCAGTGTCCCAAAACGTTGTGGTCTGTTACATCTGGACAGCAGACAAATTGTTTGGGTAAATCTTCTTGTGATGTGTGCTAGCTGTGTGAGCTAATGCTCAAGTCTGTCTTTTAATAGCCACTGCCATTTAACTGTCGCTGGTGAGACTAATTGATGAGCCTATATCGCTATTCATTATCTCAAAAAGTACAAATGGACTTGTCATTCCATCTGTTGCAAAAAGTTACTGGTTAGTATAAAAACTGTCAGATATTCAGATTAGTTTAATAATATGAACCGGCCTCTTTACATGTTGACATTTCACCGTCCTGATTGAAAGACAAGGGATGGAGTGGGCACACTGCTCGTGTTACGAGCTAAAGGGACACGAGATCAGCGTGCACAGCTCTGTTTCTTAATGCTTGGCCCTGGAGAAGATCGGAGGAATCCTGCAGACCTTCTCTTTATCGCTGGAGTGTTTCAGTCGAGCTGCAAAAAGTCCATTCCATACGTGTCAGGCGGTGTTGTGTTTCTGGGGCATTCCCTCTTAATTTCCTCCTCGTCTTTTTCCAACACCATGGCACTAATCCTGTGTAGGATATCTCTGCCAACCATCACTACCCACTCCTCAGCACATTGTCAGCATGAAGAACAACTTGTCAATGGCTGGGATCCAAGGAGGCATTTTGGTCCTGTAGTTAGAAAGCTGTATTTTCTTTTTATTCCCTTCGAGATTATTTTTTCTTATACTTTTTTTGTCTGCATTTCTCAACTCATTGTCTGTACTGACCTTTGGCAGCCATGTTTATTACCACATTTCTTGGTGTCTTAAGATCTTCATAGGGTCACAACTTCAAATGTCTTGAAAATAATTACACGGCAATACCTCACATGAACATAATTAGGGATGAATCCCAGCAACTTCGGTTGTCCCAATAACGTTTCCAGTGTCACCCTAAGGTTAGTATCTCCACGACAACATCATGCTTTGAGCTGCCTTCGTCAAGCCACGGGGTAATTGCTTATAAGAGAAAAGTCTTGATATTAACAGGATAGACTGCAATTATATTTAGTTTATTTAGCTTAATTTTTACAAGTATTCATCCTACTGAATGAATGGAAACCCTTGGCTTTTAGGTAGTTACCTAACAATTGACTGGCTTCTAGCCATACGCTATGAAAGATGGTTGTTTGGTTAGTATATTTCTGCTATTTCAAACCATTTTCATACACGAGAGATGGAAGGATTTGTCTGAGAAACCATGGGATACTGCATGCTAACATCATAAGTTAGCATACTTTCAATCACATGGTAAAGTATACCCTGCAGAACAAGCAAGCAAGCAACTGGACATCGTATGCAGGATGTCCAGTTGAGGCTCCTAGTGTAGCCTCACTGCTCCATCGTCAGCATGTATGTGAGCGTTTAGGATCCATGGGGTGTTTTGTTCTGTTCTGTCCTGCTTGAGGAACTTAAAACGGCTTACATCAAAAATTGATTATACGTTTAGAGACACTCAGTAGCGATCCTGATGCACAATTGTTACAACATCAACATTGTTATTAAAACCTTGTCACGTGAACCGCTGCTTTCAACGCTATTCTTCTCATAACATAGCATAACATACACCCTCCACCCCCACATGCACTTATAAATGTAAAAATATTTAAATATTTATGGCCTTTTAAAATTTTTGTTATCTCTATTTTTTTTATCTTGGTAATTTTAAAACTTCTATTACCTTAGGCTAAGTGAATTGTTTGATCTCGTCAAACAAATTTTATTGTAATGGGAATCAACCAATCAACCCATTGGATATTGAATTCCTGGATAGAATTGAACAGGGATAGTGTAAACCAATACAAAGCAATAGTTAGCAAGTTTTCAATCAGTGTTGCATGAACAAATGTCATCTGCAATTTAACTTTGCAGATGCACCATCCTGAGAATATGAACGTACTTGAAGTTGGAAGATTGTTGCAGTGCATCCATCCCACAAAGCACTTTGTTGTGTAAACAGGACCTGGCTGTGCAGTTGGTACTCTGATCTACCCTTGATCTGCCCCATTGCATTATGAAGTGGGGCTAAGGGCAGGAAGGCTAAACAGGGCCTATTGTTTGGTAGGATGAAGGAGTCATTGGGTTAAGAAGGTTTGGGTTACTGGAAGGAGGTCCACCATTGTGAATGGAAAGAAGGGAGAGGAGGGCAGGGCAGAGCCAACTGCTGGGCATAAGGGGTTGAATTAAAGTGGTCCGCACCAAGGATTAGGTGACTGCTAAACAGAGCTCAGTGGGTATCCAGTCCAGGACCTTTTTATGTGAAGGTCAGGCTTGATGGATTCTCCAAAAACTTGTGATGCTAGATACTTTGACCTGTTCCCACACAATGCCCTCCTGATGATAGAAACCTTTGACCTACCTTATGTCTCATAACCAACTTTAAGCAAGAAAAAAAAATTATTTTATGCATGTTGGGGATCCTTAGTTGAATTTCTAACCTGGTACTGGGGAACTCTCCAAGAGATTCGATAGGAGCTGCCAAGTGCTTGTCCGCCAACAAACACTTAAAGGAATAGATTAACAGCCCTTGAGTTTGAACAGTGACCAGTCATTCTCAAAGAGGCATGATTGTTGAGTGTGCTGTTGATGGAAAACTCCAAAATATATGCTGACATGAGTAAAAATAGTTCTTCAGATCCACCCATCTTTCTTTTAAGTAGTTTCAGCCAGTGGCATTTAACCTCTCACCATCTGTAAGCACCAGTGTTACCAAAAGGATGCAAGGATGATATTACAACAGCTTCAGTGTCCAACATTTATGAAAGTTTCTATATCACTAGGAAATCTGAAGGAAAGGTTGAAAGATGCTTTGATTTTATATAATACAAATGGTTTAAAACGTTTTAATGATGATAGTGTGTACATACACTGTAAAGGTTCTTTCATTTCCCCATTTCTTTTATTTTGACTGGTTAGAAACAGTTTTAATCCCTAAGTGAAATAAATTGATAAAGCTCCAGTCGTACAGACCTGGAGGCAAGTTAACCAAAACTGGTTGCTAATGAAAAATATGTATTATTTAACACAGAATGCCGATTTGCAACTGCTTTGGTGGCTTTCATATTGTTGCAGTTGACCATAGTTTGCATATAACATGCCAACTTGTCTGCAAACACTCGCCATCTACTCTCCAAGTGGTGGGGGTCTGGGTGGGGGTTTCTCAAAAATTAACTGCACTTTTACTTTGTCTTCATCTCTGATTTCACCACCACTCACAGAGATTTTGCGAAGAAGTTGGTGGTCTTACTATAGCATCCAAGTTACTCACATGCTTCACAGTGTAAAACTGTGAATACAGGTTTTTTGTATTAAGCATGCCTCAGTGTGTCAGTACATTCTCATTTTAATCATTTTCTGTCTTTAGATTAAGTTAAGATGCATGCTCTCCTTCTCTCTCCCCTCTTGCTTAGTGCTGTTGTCTTTATCTATTGTATCTATCAAATCATTAACTCTCTGCACTCCATCAGCACTAACCTCAATGTTTAACTGCTTCTGCAGCTTTGATTTATTATGTATTAGCTGAGTTGGGATCAACCTGCAGTTTCGTTGTGGTTTTTTTTTTTTTTTAGTTGATTTGATTTGAGTCGAGCCATTCAGTTAAATTTTATGGCTTGGGTTAAGGTGTTGTTCATCTTTTGGTTGTTTTTTTTCCAGTCTTCACCTCTGTAATTTGTGCTTATTTTCTCCAAATTTTGAGTTAATAACTCAAATTTTCGAGTTAGTGCTGCCAATCAGTAATCTGCGTGAATGACATAATTTCCTTGTTACCCGGAAGCTGAAGCCCTCAGGTACAAATGCTACAGCTAAGCTACCGGTATTACATCCAGTCATGAATGCACAGATTGCTGAGTATTTTCAGCGTGGTTTCAAAAATGATGAAATCCTTGTGTTATTAGCTGAATCACATGGCATTACTATCAGCAAACGTACTTGCGAAAGCACCAATTTGTTGCGATCCGGTTTTGAGTGTGCGTTACTCTGCGCCATATGCTTCCAGGTAATAAGAAAGTGACCTCATTCACATAGATTACTGATTGGCAGACCTAACTCAAAATTTCGAGTTATTAACTTGAAATTTGGAGAAAAGTAACTCAAAATTTCAAGTTATGTTTCTCCAAATTTCAAGTTACATTTCTTGAAATTTTGAGTTAATAAGTCGAAATTTTGAGTTAATAAGTCGAAATTTTAAGAAAATAACTTGAAATTTCGAGTTATGGCGGAAATGGGCTTCCGTACAGACCTGTATGCTCGCAGTTGGCCCAAATATAACATCCTAATGTGCTCTATGACACAGTTGGCCCCTTTAACAACCATAATTACATAGAGGCCATGTGACACGACCACCCTCGTAGACAAAGGAAAAAGAAGCGTTGTGCGATCACAAGAAATCGGGCCATCTAGGTCTTTCCAACTTCTCCATCTACGACATTTCCCAAAACACAAACCCTTGGTTAGGAAGCTCCCTCAGCCCACTAGGTCACCTGTAACTGCCGACTTTTTTTGTCCCTCTTTGTATGACATTCTCTTTCACAGCTCGCTTAAGAGTATGTGACCATTTACACAACAAGACGTGGGAGGTATAAAAGAAGCCTCCGCAGAGAGTCTCAGTGCTGCTTAATGGGAGCCCGGGGCCTGCCCTCAGTCCTGGAGCCTTTCACACATCTTGCTCCCTGCCTCTCCAGTTACTTCCACTGTCCTCCGGCAACAAAGACCAAACTGACTGCCCTCTCCTTCCCAGACCCTATCAGCGTGGATCCACCTGAGATTTCCCCTCAGTATCTCTCCAGCATCTATGGAAATGAAGTGTCTTGTATAACCCTGTAAATGAGGCTGTACCTAATTAAAAAAGGGGGCTACACAGAGTACCCAAAGTGACTGATGTTAATTCTGTAATTCTAGCTACCGCCGAGCTAAAGAGCTAGGTCTCAGACTGTGTGTGTGCTTCTGGTTTTGGTCCATAAACGCCCCCAGAGTGAGACTGTACTCCTTTGGTGAGTCTGTGTGCTCGGGTGCTCTGAGATTTAACTGTACTGAGTGAACTCTGGTAAGGCTCTAACCACAACTGAGTCCTGATCCAAAGACGACCTTCTTTTACACTTTCAGCACAAAAAACAGTCAAAACGAGAGAAACATTTTAAACTGCTGCTTCAGGTGGTGAAGGACACATTATCATTCAACCCCCTTCCAAAAAACCCCCATAAAAGCCACAGTGTTTCCCACCAAATCGTCCACCACAGACACATTTTATCATCAATTGGCACTTTGCTGCTGTTGATGACCGGTCCTGCCCAAAGAGGCTTGCATTCATCCCATGAGAGCCTCTCTTTGTACACAACATTCCTCTTCTGTGGTATTTAAAACATGTCTCCAGACAGTAATTCTCTTTTGTTTTTCCACCTCTGACTTCCCCTCTCACCTTCTTGCTCTTCTTACTCTGTTTCCAGTTTCTCCCTCTCTCTCCCGGATTCCTCCGCTGTCCCTCCTCTCAAGTCCCCTCTCCTCCGCACCCACCCCCGTCCCCAAACACTGATCTCAGATTAACGTGAACACTATCCCAGGTAAAGTTTGCACCTGCTTCTTTAGGCAAAGCTCCTTCCACTGATTCTCACTGATTCCCAGTTTAGGCGAGAACAAAAAAACTCTAGCTTGCTGTTGGTTCTGCCGGTAATTCCTGCGGAGCTGGACGCGGACAAGAAGCGCTCTTCCATCAGGACATCCAGCTGCTCTTCATCACTTCGACTGCCTCTCTTTACTCCCTCCATCACTCCCTGGATGGGATACTGCTCTGTGGAGATTGCCACTAGACTAGTAAGGTGCTAGATGTTCATCTCCTGAAGGCAGGTGAGTCCATCATTTTTGTCCTTCACTCTATTTCAGTATTTTCTGAATTTATAACCTGACTGCGGTTATAACAACAAAGCTGTACTGTTTTAAATCAGCATGCAAATACAGACTATACCTGTATGTCACAGGAGTTATTTGGGGGGGGTGTAAAAAAATAACACTTTCTATCTAAAATTGTTGGGATCATGTGTTTTCTTCTGGTGATGATTCCAGTATTGGATTCACGTTAAACGTTTGCAAACTTCATGAGTAAAAATGCCTGTTTTTCCCTTTATTTCCCCCCCTAAAACAACCTTAAACTCTCAAATGTAATTCTTGATTTTGACATTACTTTATTTTCCACTTTTGGAACTGAGTACAAAAAAGCCCCCAAAAAACTGTGAGTTACATTTTGATCACTGTTTGATCTTGACAATCATATCTATCTAAAAATCTGTATATTAATCCTCATTGAGTGAATTAACTTCTAATGTTTCTTTAATACAACATGATTGGTCTCTTTTTGAGTGTGACCCCAGAGATAAAGAGATAAACACCCTTTAGTGTTGTGTTCGGGTTTTATCTTAATTGCCACCTTAAAAGCCACTAAAAGGACTTAATGCCAGTCAGATAACATGGTGAGTCACAAGAGTGAAAAGAGCAATTGTGGTTAATCTTTCTGTTAACAATGTATGATGAGAGGCTGATGACATTACAGCAGACCTCTCTCAGCAGTGCCCACTAACCTTGGCACACCTGAATGCGATTTAATGTCCGCCTGAGCAGAATTCACACATTAGAGAGATTTGGGAGACGTCTCGAATTGGCCTTGCATTCGTTTTGTATCGGTTACGTGCAGAAGGTGCTGTGGGGGGGATTCACATAAAGATTCCCAGATCATACTAAGGTCTATTTATTGCATTAAAAATGAAAAATAACAGTTTTCTTAATTTTTGGTCGATAGCGCAGAGATGCTCCAGATTTACTTTCGCGCCATGTTGGTCGACTAGCTTTTCATAGCTTTCATTCATTCACGTATAATGAAATAAAACCATATCTTTTCATTTTAAATTATATGGTTTATAAATATTTGTATAAATGCTTCAATAAATACGCCTATATATGTCAAAACTGCTAGCCTGCAGCTACAGCGAACACTGTTTTACAAACTGAACTACCCAATGAAATATGCAAACTTTTAAACTATTTACTAGTGCCCAAACCAAGTTACTTGGAGTGGTATTAACCTCGTTTATCCATGAAGTCATTTAAATCCTATGTTTAAAACAAAACAAACACATCATTGTTATCAGTAAATTACCAAACGGCTTACAGGGATTAGATTGTTCTTTATTAGGTGGTCATTAGAAAGTAACTATCTCTTGTAGCTTGCAGGCAGCTAATTGGTAAAAAGTTTTTAATGAAGCATGAAAACTGTGCAGTTGTACCGAACGCTGGCTGGAAAAACTAAAGTCTATTGAAGCCTGTGATATCTAGAGGGAACCAATTTTAGCTGTACCACTATCTAATTGATTGCTGACTATAGAGTCAGTACCTTCTTTTTGGAGTTTCATTCTAGTTTATTTAACAATTAAGATTAAATGCTATACGATGACTGTAGACTGCCAACTTGGCTGTACATCTGATTTTGCCAACGGGAAACTTGCCAAACCAGGCCCCTAAGGGCTACTCCAAGGACCTTAGCAATTCAAACCTGCTCACTTAAAGCCATTAGTGCCCCAGCGTTTATGCTCCTCTCCCTTCAGCCAACAAGACATGGATAGGTCCCAAACAGAAGTGGTAATGAGGTCCTAAGCAGCCTCGCGGCTTCAGACAGAGAGACTCTGGAGCAGAGCCGGCCAGTCCTGTCAGCTGCCGGGAACTCAGGCACAGAGAGGCCTGTGGTCCACTGTTGAGGCTCACATGGGACTTTAAGGCAAATGTGATCCTGACACATTGTTCTGGCATGCATAATAGGGCCTTTTCAGGGCTCCTCATGGGAGCCCTGGGAGCCTGATTTTAAAGAAGTAACGTGACGTTGGTTCGTTGGTTCTACCTCTTCACTTCTTTTGTCTCACAGCCTTGCTTATGGGAAGTTGTCCTATGACTCATGACTTCCTGCGTTTCCATTAGCTTTAAGGAAAATGCAGCACAGATTAAGTAACACCACTTTAAATTGTGTCTCTGCTTTTTTGACAGAATGGTCAGGCCAGGCTGTCCAGTCATTCTGCTCCATATCTTCAGCATCTTTGCACACACAAGAGGTATAAGACATGCAAATATTGAGCTAGCATACCATTCTCTTCCTCAACTCTTACAATTTGATGAGCTCTTGTACATTATTTTTCAAGGTAACACTCAGGATACGCTGTATCCGTATGGACCTGGCCATAGGGATCTAGAGACTCCAAAGATGGACGATGGAAGTTCTCCTGAAATTACTTTACTCATCCCCTTTATTTTCTTCAATATCCCTTACCGCTCTATCTATGTAAGCCCTGAATTCCACAGTCCTTCAATCAATATCTTTAAAGCTAACTAATGCTGGACCATGAAACTGAAATAAAAATCATCTTCTTTCCTCTCACAGGTCAACAACAATGGTGTAATCTCCTTCAACGTGCAGGTTAGCCAATTCACACCAGAGGCTTTTCCCCTGAGTGACAGCAGGTCATTTATTGCTCCACTCTGGGCAGATGTGCACAATGGCATCCGCGGAGACGTGTACTACCGGGAGACCACCGAGCCAGAAATTCTCGAAAGGGCAACACAAGATGTTCGGAAGTATTTCAAAAACATGCCCACCTTCACTGCCACATGGGTCTTTATTGCAACATGGCACCAAGTCACGTTCTATGGAGGAAGCCAGACAACTCCGGTAAAGTTTTAACTCTGGCATAGTTTGAATTCTGGTCATTCACTTCCACCAGTATGTGGATAGGAACTGGCTGATCAAAAGGGGAAAATATGCCCCACGTGCATCTGCTTCATCTTCATCTGCTGTATTTCTCATGTGTACACAGACTTTGGTACTGTATATAAATGTGTGAGCCTCAATAATTGCCACCTGGTTGCCATATATGATTCAAACACACTCATTATAAGAACTAGCATGCCATTCAGACATAATGCTATACACGTGTGTTTGAGGATATTTTATGGTCCCTATGCAATTTTCTTTACCATCCCAAAGAAAATGAGGAAGATAAAATAATGTAAATACGTTAGGTTAAGGACCTGTCCAGGGTGTACCCTGCCTCTCGCCCTACGACAGCTGGGATAGGCTCCAGCGCCCCCCGCGACCCTGAAAAGGATAAGCGGAAGCGAATGGATGGATGGACGTTAGGTTAAGTGTTATTTGTAGCTATATTGTATTTTTTTGTTAGATGCATGTAGTTTACCCAGCTTAGCTTGCTATATTTTACTTTAGACTTCTCAAATCTAGCCAACATCTGTTTCTGGACAAGTAAACAGTTATTTTGCAATTTAAATGTAATTAATGTGTTTTGGGTGGTTTAGCTGCAGAGTGAATTACTAATTCGAAAGCTTACAATTCATCCCCAGCTCACCAAACATGTCTGTAGGATCCATAGCAACGGCCATGAAGTGGCAGACCACGTAAAGTTACAGAGCAGTGTCACAAACTGTGTAACAATCGCCAACGCTCTGATGACTCAGTGAATGCAGAGCTTCAAATCGCCATTAACATCAGCACAAAAACTGTTACTGGGAACTTCATTCAGTGGATGAGCAGCTCCTGTTTGTGTGTTGGTGGTCCACTACTTTAGTCCATATAGTATATGTGCAAAAGGGGCTCATGCAGTAAAACCTGCACCACTCAATAATGTTTTTAACCAGCTAAAACTGCCTTTTTCTATCACATGAATAGGTTTTTGTATGGATAACACATTAATACAAATTGAATTATGAGGCAGGAGCAAAAGTTAAACAAAACCTTTTCAGGTATATTTATTAATAGTTTATCAGTTTAACTACAAAGCAACTCACTACATTGTTCTATTTGTGTGGCAGAAAGCTATCCACGATTAACCCACCAAGTTGAAAATCTACTCGTTTTTGGCAGTTAGTGGGTATTTATTTCAGACCCTGTGTGTGCCTGTGTGTATGTGAAACAAAAAGACTGCTGTGTGTATGAATGGTTGAAAGTAGCTTGTTTTGTCAAGCTATGTTAATGGTTAGTAAGGTTAGATAAGTGCCATATGAGTGATCACTTTTTAGAGAAACACATAAGAAAATATCCAGGAAGTTTTCAACTGTTTCAGTTTGTAACAAGATGGGCAATTCTCATCACTGTACAAAGCAACATAATTTTAAAATGACGCTAAATCAGGAACAGGTTTTTTGTGTTGAAGTTTCCTGTCTATTTTGTGGATGTTAATTACATGGAAAAAAAGATTTTCATCCATTATACATTTGTTTAGTGTATATTCACTTTTCTTCTTTCTTAAAATCTTTTTAATCCCGTTGTTTGATTTAAAGGTGAACACGTTCCAAACTGTACTCATCTCAGATGGCGTGGCATTCTTCAGTATGTTCAACTACGGCGAAATCACATGGAGCACAGGAACAGCCAGTGGTGGAGATCCATTAACAGGATTGGGCGGTACAACAGCTCAGGTATTCTCACTGTGCCTCCTAATTTCATAAGGACAATAAGGCTTTTCGTATACAGAAATGATCCTCTGGACATTCAATCTGATATGCCTCACAACTCTCCCCTTTTTAGTCAGGTTTTAATGGTGGAGATATTGGCCATTTCTTCAACCTGCCGGGATCGCGGTCAAATGATGTAGTGAACATTGAACAAACAACTAATGTAAATATTCCTGGGCGCTGGTTCTTCCGTGTAGACACTGAGCTGATTAATCCTGCCAATGGCTGCAGCTACAATGGCAAGTCAAACATCAAACACTGATAATGTGCATGCAGGTTGACTCTTTGCAAAGAATTCTTCACTAAAATTAGTCCATGAAATGCTACTTTGTTCTACATCCTTTCCAGGCCGTTACTACAGACGGGGAGAGATCTTTTGGCTGTCTGACAGATGCTCACAGCGGTGTCGCTGCCTCGACATCGATAATGAGGTGCAGTGTCAAGAGGCTCCGTGTGGGCAGCTTGAAACCTGTGAGCAGCTGGAAGGAGCCTTTTACTGTCAGCCCACTCGCACCAGCACTTGCGTGGTATTCGGAGACCCCCACTATCACACCTTCGATGGCTTCCTCTATCACTTCCAGGGGACCTGCTCCTACCTGCTGGCTCGGCCCTGCTGGGAGGTAGCAGGGCTGCCCTTCTTCAGTGTGGAGGCCAAAAACGAGAACCGTGGAGCTGCCTCTGTTTCCTGGCTTAGAGACGTCACAGTGGAGGTGTATGGTCACCGAGTTACACTGCCAAAAGGAAGTTTTGGAACAGTCCAGGTGAGAATCTATGGATACAGAAGATAAGCACATAGCTGCGTTCCTCCTGGATACACTGTCTAGATATTGGTTAATGATTTCTACCTGTTCCCTTACCAAAACATCCTTTTTTCTCTCTTTAGGTGGATGGCTTGGTGAAGACTTTACCAGTCCAACTCCAGCTTGGTGCTGTCAGGGTGTACCAATCTGGGGTTGCCATTGCTTTAGAAACTGATTTTGGACTCTTGGTAACTTACGATGGCCAACATTACGCATCCATCTCCCTACCCAGCTCCTACTTCAACAACACTTGTGGCCTTTGCGGCAACTATAATGATGACCCTGCCGATGATCCCGTACTACCTGATGGCACTCTGGCAGAAAGTGTAGTGGAGCTGGGAGGCAGCTGGAGGGCAGAGGACACAGACTGGAGGTGTACAGATGGATGTGCACAGAACTGCAGCATGTGTGACCCTCTTGCAGAAGCTTTCTACTTTCGGTCTGACTACTGTGGGTTAATTAACAAAACTGATGGACCATTCAGGGACTGCAGAGCTGTTGTGGATCCTACAGCCTTTGTGTACAGCTGCGTTTATGATATGTGCAGCAACAAGGATAACATCACTACTCTATGCCAGGCCATCCAGGCCTATGCACTGGCTTGTCAGGCCCTTGGTGTCACAATACGACCTTGGAGATCTCGCACCTTCTGTGGTGAGATTCAGTTTGCTTAATGCTAAATTTGACATGAAAGCACTTATCTACCATATGAAATTAGAATTTTTTTCTTCTCCGTTATTGTTTCTTAGCTTGGTCTTGTCCAGACTTCAGCCAGTATCAAGTGTGCACAAGCGCCTGTCCAGCTTCCTGCTCAGACCTCACCGCTCCCTTGTACTGTGCTCATCCTTGCACTGAGGGCTGCCAGTGTGACCCAGGCTATGTTCTCAGTGGCAGCCGCTGTGTACAGCGTGAAGACTGTGGCTGTGAGCATAATGGCCTTTATTACCCCCTTAATACGACTTTCTGGGTAGGTCCCAGCGGTGAAGAAGGAGAATGTACCCTCCGGTGTACCTGTGGGCCTGCTGGGGAAGTTTCTTGTTTCAATGATTCCTGTAAGGAGGGTGAGGTGTGTAAGGCAGAGGTTGGCCTGCTGGGTTGCTACCCTCGAAGAGAAGGGGTTTGCTCAGTCACCCAAAACTCAGTGACATCCTCCTTCGATGGCACCTTCCTGTCGTTCCCAGATGACAGCTCTTATTACTTACTGAAGCTGTGCGCTCCAGTGCCAGCCAACGGCTCGATGGTGGAGGTGAAGCTAGGCCGGCGGTTGGTCAACAAAGGGCCTGCTTGGAAAAGACCTGTGGTAGTTACGCTAGCTAACGTGGAGGCACAGATGGGAGGGTTGGATTTTGATACAGTCAAGGTTAGTATTTCTTCATAAAAAGTAAAAATCTTGTGGGGGGGGTTTTTGGGATCTGGGAAAATAGCGAGTGGAGACTTCTGCACTGCCGCAAGTATATGAACAGATTCGCTTTTATTGAAACTGAAAACGCTGGAATTGTGATTTAGGTAGAGGTCTAAGCTGAAAAAACGAATTCAAACCCAAGCATAAGCAGTAGCAATAGAAATAAACAGCAAAAATAAATGCATTAATTATTTTTATCAGCCAGCAATGGTCATCCGGTAAACAAATGAACACAACCACAGTGGGACTACAAGCCAGTCAAGCCTACATCTACTATGAGTCCCATATCTGGAAAAATAGGAAGAGTAGCAACAGAAAGAGGGTCCTGGAATAAAATCTGTACCAAATCAAAAATGGGGATCACAAAGAATGCCATTTTCTTACCAGATTGGCCAGGTCCAGTGCTCCAGTTGCCAGCAGAGTGGCGGTGGAAACTGTGCTACTGTTGGCCAAAGACAAAGGAAAAAGATTTGTGGATATAATGAAGGAGGATATATATGCATGAGGTTGTTTTGACAGATTAATAGCTAGAGATGAGGTGAGATGGCAGCAGATAATCCACTACAAAGACCCCTAAAAGGAGCAGCCAAAAGAGGAAGAAGAATAAGTCGTAGTGTTAACAAATGGGTTGTTAAAAGAGGTTGTATGTGGCTAACAGTTAAAGCTGTTTGGAAAATGAATAAGTTCTCTGAAGTGCTTGGGAAATGATTGCATTAGCAATGTAAACTGTTAGCTAACACTATGAATGAACAAATTAATTGCTAAAATGGCTATCTGCAAATTAAAAAAACAACGTACCAATATTTTAACTAAAGGAATGCTAGCTAGCTAGCTAGCTAAAATGAACTGGAAGTTGTTAGGTAAAAGAAATAGATAAAAGGCCTCCAATATCTTCTGAACGACTGAGAAAACTGTTTTAGCATATTATATTAATGCTTACAGAACAATAAAATTGTTGAAGAATTCTTTAAATAACAGAAACAGAAAAAAGACCCTCTTACTATCTGTGCACAGAGGTTTTCTGGAAATTCTGATCCAGGGAGCTGATTGGTCACCAGACAGTGAATTCATATCTTCTGATTTTCTTTTCTCTAATCGCAAACATAATCTGCCCCCAAGCGGGTTATGTCTTCAACTTTAGTCACAAAATCTTCCTTCATAGTACACATCTCTGCTGTCTGTGTTGCTCAAAAATGTTAGCTTATTAGCCTATTAAAGGTTTTCTAAACATGGAAAAATGTATCTAACTTTAGCATCTGTTGACACAATAGTTATATATTATAGCCACATTAATAAACAAGAGAGCAGCTCTCTTTCTTTGGAGGTGTAATCGTCGGACGCTATGAAACTGGAGAAATTTAATAAAGTCAAACAGCCAGAAGCAAAGAACACAACTATGTTTGCAGTCCACAATCTCTCTCCAGTCATTAGAGAGCCTCATTAAAAGAAAAAAAATGTTTGTGCTGAACAAGGCTGATGTTAAGACTTAAAATTAAAAATAATTTGTTTGCTTTTAATCACCTGTAATAGGCTTGAGATTTGTTTGAGGCAATATGAGAGTGTGACCATAAAAGCATGTCTCAGACATTACAAGTCTGAAAACTGCCATCTGGTTTTGGCATTAATTAAACTAACTAGTTCACATAAATGCACTTTGGAACATGAACGGTTTTTTAATGAAGGCCTTCTTGAGTCCAATGAAAATGAGGCTTGGAACCAGCTGAATATATTTCACTTTTTTATTTTGCAGGTGAATGGTGAACTAGTGTTGCTCCCATACGTCCATCCAATGGAGACAATGATGATCTACAGAGCGCCGGGCAATGCAACAGTGGTGGAGTCCCGTGGTCTGCTTCGTGTCCACTACACACATCAAGGATTCCTCAATATCTCCCTTTCAACCCTCTTCTACAATGTTACTTGTGGTCTTTGTGGTGTTTTCAATAGCAATGCAACCGATGACCTTCGCCTACCCAATGGACGCCAGGCAGAGTCAATCGAACAGTTCACAGACGGCTGGCGCTCCATTGCTGATGATCTTACCTGCAATGGCGACTGCGACGACCTGTACCGCATGTGCACAGACTTACGTCTTTATCAGAGCCCTTGGATGTGCGGCAATATCAACGACCCCGGGAATAGTTCCTTTCTTGCGTGTCACGCAGTGGTTAACCCCTCGCCATTCTTCAGGAACTGTTTGTATAACATGTGCGTGAGGGAAGGGAACCGCTCAGCCCTGTGTTCTTCGCTGCAGGCTTACGCCACCGCCTGTCAGGATGCTCAAGTAGGACTTGCTTCATGGAGGAGCACCACCAACTGTCGTGAGTAACCGTTTTGGCTATTACATCTATATAAAAGATGGACCATTACGTCAACCATTGGCTAGTGAGGGCCTGTTGTCAGGTCTCAAACTGAGCATTTTCCCTGGCGAGCTTGTTGTTTTGAAAGGCCATGTTACAAACAGCGGGAAATGACTGTAAAATCAAGGCATCCCCTAAACTATACACTGCATCATCTTCCATTTTTAGGCTAACAGGGACCATAAACTTAGTCCAGATGACTTCATAGCAGCAGCTGAGGCCATAAACATATATAAAAGTGATTACTTAAAGCACAAATGAAGGGCACTGTACGAAATTTTTCTATAGATTTTCACACAGCTGGATTTCTTGTTGAAATCAGAGAAGTCACCTCTTGCTGGTCATTAGAAAGATCAGCAAGTTGTCGATTATCAAACTCTTCTCTGTAGATCCAAAACAGAGATGCATAGACGGACTAAATCTAATAATTAAGTAATTAAAGTTTATTTATAAAGCCTTTTCACAGACAAGCAGTCAAAAGATGTAATCAAAATAAATAAACACTGGGATGAAGCATCGTAAAATATAATCAAAAAGCAATAGCAATACAAAATCAAGTTAAGATCGCTTTTTAAAGAAGTCCACAGAGTCAGCTAATTTCGTTTGGGCTGGGAGACTGTTTCAAAGTCTTGGTGTCACAGATTGCAAGGTCTTTAATCTTTCATTAGGAAAAAACAAGACATTCTGAGCCTGTGATCAAAGACTGTGAGCAGCAGTGTCTATAGTAAAAATCTGGTATAAATAACCTGCAGTGTGTCCAGACTATTTACCCCCAAACACATATAAATGAATTCTAAAGTCTTCTAGGACTTTGCCGAAACTCTGCAAGAAATATACATTACTAGCTAGTGGCTAAGCTATTGTTCTGTTCATCCATATTGGATAAGGAGGGGGGATCTAAAGGCTAAAAACCAAAAATAAACACAGTAAAAACATAGTCTTGCTGATGAGCCCAACAATGTATAATGTGTCTTGAAAACACATTTAACCCTCCTGTTTATTGTAAGTTATTATTGAGTTTTACCACCAGCACTGTTGAAAACTTTGTTCCAGTAGCAATAATAACAATGCGACTGGGTATTTTCATATATTTTGCATGAGAATTATAAAAGTGGATTGTCCCAAGAGGAAAAACTTCCTTATAACAGGAAGAAACCTCCAGCAGAACCAGACTCGGAGAGGGGCAGCAATCTGCCGTAACTGGTTGGGGTGAGGGATGGGAGGCAGGATAAACTATACGCTGTGGAAGAGAGCCAGAGATTATTAATAACTAATGATTAAATGCAGAGTGGTGTATAAACACAAAGAGAGCGAAACGAAGTGTGTGAAGATGAAAAACACTCAGTGCATCATGGGAAGCGTCCATGAGCCGCGGTCTACTGCAGTATAACTAAGGTAGGGTTGAGGGTCACCTGATTCAGTTTTCTTTAAAAAAAATCCCAACAATAACTTAACCTAATATTTAACTATTTAATTTCCTCTGTAGCAATGGTCTCTAGATTCTTTCTATCATCTCACTTGTTTGGAGCCGTTGTTTTATCTTGTCAGAAGGAAAGTAAAACTGGAACCAGTTACAGTGATTTTGTATTGTGACTGTGATACACAGTGTATTTTGTACTACACATACAGAGGATAACATAAAAACACATGTAAGATATTTGACTGAACATTGGCTTAAGTCTTGCTCTCCCTGACCTTCACTCTTCTTCAGCTCTTCCCTGTCCAGAGAACAGTCACTTTGATGAGTGCACCAGCGCCTGCCCTTTGACCTGTGCCAACTTGGACGACCCCGAAGAGCCGTGCCCCCTGCCTTGTCAGGAGGGGTGTCAGTGCGAAGACGGCTTCGTGCTGCGGGATGGCCTGTGCGTGGCGCGCAGAGATTGTGGCTGCATCTACCACAGGCGTCAGCTGGCCACCAACCAGACTTTCTGGACAGACTGGGAGTGCCAGGAGCGCTGCTACTGCAATGGCTCTGACAACACTGTATACTGTCAGCTCGCACCGTGTCACCCTGAGGAGTACTGCCAGGAGAATGACGGCCTGTATTTCTGCCAGCCGCGCTCTGAGGCCCTGTGTGTGGCAGCTGGCTATGGACATTTTTTGCCATTTGGCGGAGTGCCGTTCGAGCTGCAGAGCTCTTGCACTCTCAGGATGGTCACCACCAGATGTGGGAGGGGGAACACGGCGCACGTACCCATCACCAGAACTTTTCCTCCATTTAAACTGGCGGTTCGTAACGAGGACAGAGACACGAGCCAAGCAATTTGGGTGAGGGGTTTTGTGCTGGAAGTTTACGAGTATGAAATTGAAGCATCTCGAAGCTACAGAAACACTGTCACGGTAAGCATTAGGTTGATATATGAGAATGTCTGTGCAATGAGGTAATCTTCAACAGATTTTATTTTCTTTGCATGCCCTGTGAAGGTCGAAGTTATTGCATTTGTGAGGACATGTTATTTCTAATCAAGCCGATAGAATAACCAGGCAGAGGGTGAATTCCTCTTTGATTGGCTTAAGGTGGATCTAATTTCAATGGGCATCTTTTATCGGCCTGGATTTGGCTCAGACGAAACCTCGACCCTGAGCGACATTTGGACCAGGTTCACAAAGCGACTAAAAGATCTGAGGAGCAACATAAATGACACATCCACCCACACACTCGCTCACACACCCTTCTTTCTTTAATTTTCTCCGTTTCGCTCTCGCTCTGACAATTATACTGAGAGGAATTCACAGACACTCTTTCAGTCAGTCTTAATAGTAGCTGTTCACCACCTGGGCTTCCCCACATACTTGGAAAATATACAAGTCAGTCAGATTAGAGACTTGAACTTCTGTTTCTAGAAGTTGCTCCTGTAGGAATGATTTTATGTTAGTTGGGATTTTATATTAAATCTTTAACCAGTTTTACATGATTTCTCTCTTCACTCAGGTGAATAAGGAGCGACTGTACCTTCCCCTGAAGCTGGGCCCAGGAAAGGTCAATATCTTCACCTTTGGCATGCACCTCATTTTGGAGACAGACTTTGGCCTGAAGGTGGCCTTTGACTGGAACACTCTCCTGCTCTTGACTTTACCCCGCGACCTCTACAACTCCACCTGTGGCCTTTGCCAGGGCGTGCCTCTGTCCCCACCCACCCTTTCCACTACCGACTGGGGCATGGCCTGGGCGGAGAGGGACACCTTCTGCCAGGTGGGCTGCGGTGACTCCTGCCCGCGCTGTGGCCTCGGAGAGAAAAGCTCCCAAAATGACACCCCTCTCATGGTGGCTGATGCCAACATGAACGCTGGGAGCGACGATGAAGCAAATGGAGTCAGCACTGGCATACGTTTCCACATCGGTGACGGGCTCTATGTGTTTGTGGAGCCCGAGGCAGTGAGGCTGTGTGGGTTACTTGTTGATCGGTCAGGCGTGTTTGCACGGTGTCACAGCAAGGTGGCGCCAGCGTTCTTTTATCAAAGCTGCCTCCAGGACACCTGCTTGGATCAGGGAGCTCAGGATACAATCTGTAACTGGCTGCAGATCTATGCCAGCACCTGTCAGACCCAGGGGGTGCATGTCACCGACTGGAGGAGCGACACACCGTGTGGTGAGGAGATGTTTTTGTAGAGTTTTTCCCATTGTGTTATCACAAGATGTATTCTCCTTCTTAAAGTCACAGGCACCTTTTTAAGTTTCAGGTTTGTGTGCACCATTACTGGAGAGAATCTATAATTAAAATTAAGGCCAGTTTAAATGAATAATATTTACACAGACGTAGCTAGAAACCAGTGCCCTATGAGCAGCATTTGGAGACAGTGGGGATAAAAAAATTACGTCTAACAGGAAGAAATCTCCAGCAGAACCAAACTCAGAGAGAGAGGCAGGTTCTAATGAGGAGAGAATGAAGAGAGAAAAAAAAGTAATAATAGCATATGAATGTGTGATGGCTGTAAGCTGGGAAGTAGAGGTGAAGTGCATCATGGGAGTTCCTCCAGCCAGCCTGAGTCTGAGAACCCACAGGCTAATATCCTGACTTGGCTGGTATAACCACCAGATAAAATCCAAATAAAAAAGGTAAAACTTCCTCAGCAGATAATGGTTATCTGATGCATTTCAGCATGTACCATCCCTGTTTTGCTCCCCACATAGATTGTTTATCTGCATGCAAGGGAAGCTTGCAAAAGGACACCAGAAAACTTGTAGCACCAAAACCTTTTTTTCTTGCCTGCAGAGATTAATTGCAGAGGAAGTAAGGAATGATCCAATCCTAACTATTAAGTTAAGTTTAAAGAGAGTTTCTGCTCCATGAATCCAGACTTGGAGCTGGTTCCAGAAGCCTGGTAGCTGAAGCAACTGCCTCTAGGAAAAATAGACTGTGTGTTGTGAAGAAGCGACAGCGTGTCATCATTAATGGCTGTTTTAATCAAAGAAAGTAGCTCATCTGAAAAATATCAGAGAGATAAGAATTACCAGAAAATGCAAAATAGGTTGCAAAATAAACCTGGTTTTATCCCACCCGCCTTATGCAGGTTTAAGATAAAATCATTAAAACCACAAATTGTAATTTTTAAGTTGTGTTTGTATATTTATTCTATAAGGAAATGAGCTACATCATGATAATTAGTGCATTTAAAACTGTATTTATATGGAATAGGTTCTTATTTTGGATGTTTTCTCTAAGCAGGGATAACCAGGTTTGAAGTCCACCTCAATCTTCTTACACTCCGAAATAATAAATAATATAATAATAAAGATAAAATATATTTCACCCAAAGGGCCAAACAGCTGCTGCACATCTGCATGAGCTCTTGACATGGCCAGCTGTTTCTTACCCCTAAACACTAAAGATTTATTAACACCACAAACATTTTTAGAGTGGAGTTAGTGTCACTGTTAGCTAATATCTTTGCCAACCTGCCTGCTCCCAGTCCAGAGCTGTCCACCTAACAGCCATTACTCCAGTTGCATGTCAGTTTGCCCGCCCCAGTGTGCACCAGCCCGCGGCCAGAGGGACTGCAGCCAGGACTGCGTGGAGGGCTGCCAGTGCGACCAGGGCTACGTGCTCAACGGCAAGAGCTGCATCCTTTCTCAGAACTGTGGCTGCTATACCGATGGCACATACTATGAGGTCAGTCTCCCACCAAGCTCTATGTGCATGAATATATTATAAATGTTTAAATATCTGGGTTATTTTGTGCAGTAGAAATATAGAAAGTATATAGAAAACATTAAACTAGACCTTTCTGGATCTATCAGTAAGTGCAACCATTAAGCTCTTAAAGTCCAAAATAAGTTGGAAGTTGCATGTAACCTTGGTTAAAACACTATTTGCAAATATAAAATCTTAAGAGTTTTTCTTTATTTTAGCCCAAGCAGCTTTTTTGGAACGCCGACTGCACCAAACGCTGCCAGTGCATCGGACGAAACCTGATCCAGTGCAATCCAAGGCGATGCAAGGCAGAGGAGGAGTGCACCCTCCGGTACGGGGTTCGGGGCTGCTTTGCCCGCCGCTCCCAGCACTGCGTGGCATCAGGCGGCGGAGTGTTCAGGACATTCGACGGGGCATCGCTGCGACTGCCGGCCTCGTGCTCCTTTGTCCTGTCCACAAACTGTCACAAGCTGCCCGACCTCTCTTTCCAGCTCATTGCCAACTTTGATAAATGGAGCACGCCCAACCTCACCACCATCTCGCATGTCTACCTGTATATAAATGAGGAGAATATACTCATCTCTGGCAGCACTGTCAAGGTAAGAGGCTAGGTGAAGTAAAGCAGAAGATAAGTATAAAGAGAGGCCACACACTGTGTAGCTGTCTAACTCTGTGACTTTGACACGTGCACGTTTATCCCAGGATTACTTGAATCATGTTTCTTATGGTTTCTCTTCTTAAATGTCGCAAGTTGTTTGAGTGAAACAATACTGAAGATAAGTTGTATTGGAAATGAGTATAATGGATATATTCTGCAAAGGATGTGAAATATGCCAGGTAGGAGAAAAAGAGGGAAGAGAAGATTTGTGGATGCAGTGAAGGAGGACATGCATGTTGGTGTGACAGTGGTGGATGCAAGGGTTAGGGTGAGATGATCAGCTGTGCCGACTCCTTAAAGGAAGTAGCCAAAAAGAAGAAGAAAATCATTTACTTTAGTTTTTAGTAAACTTCCTCTGTAGCTTAGTGTCCTGGGTTGTTGGTTGTTGCTAGGCAGCCAGGTTCTGAGGAAAAAATAACCAATTTTTGCAACTTTGCCGTAAGAAAGCTACTTTCAGTTACTTATTCATAAGCAGTCGTCACAGATCCAAAGGGGATTTGTTTATCTCTCCAGGATCGAACTGGGGATCGTTCACTTGTTAACTGAACGAGTAAATCACTACACGGTGGAGCCACTTTGCACTAACTGTTGCTATTGCACAAGTTTGTTTCACTTTTTTCCATATTTGACATTAATTTCTGTATCTTTTCTTTTTTTCATCAGTGTCGTGATCTGAGACATTGATTTTAATCTTTAAAGCATTATCGGCCATTACCTGTGTTTCTGAATCATTATATAACATTAAATATATAAAATCATGGGAGGCCACTTTATTCAAACTGGTGTTTCAACCAGTTAAATGTTAAATGTTATTTATGTTTTGTTTTTGTCTTTTCTGTGGTCACATTTAGAGAGCAAACTCTCCCACCCTTTCTGTGCACCTTTGGTGCCGACCAAATCACCACGCCTAGATTACCTTCGTTACCAAGACGACACTGTGACCAAAAAAAGAAAAATATGATTATGGGATAATTGTACATGTTGAAACATAGTCAAAGATAGTCGTAACAGGTTATTAACTTTACACAGAAATATGCAGCCAACAACTTGGCCACATTATGGGGTGGCTGTAGCTCAGGCGGTAGAGCAGGTCAAGGTTGGTGGTTCGATTCCTGGCTTTCCTCTAGCATGCCAAATATCCTTGGGCAAGATACTAACCCCATGTTGTGTATGAATGTTACATAGGCAGTTCTTGTGTGATTGGGTGAATGAATTAGTTGTATAAAGCACTTTAAGTGCTCAGAGTAGAAAAGCGCTATATAAGAACCAGTCCATTTACCATTAGAGACCATAAAGTGACTAAAACCATCACACTATGAAATGGACACTCTATATACCGAGGTTATTTTTTTTGCTTTTCATTTTCACCACAGTTTCTTCCTCTTTTAATCCTGCTTTAATAGAAAAATTGCCTCCATCAGGAGATTTCTCCTTTTTGTTTATGTGATCGAGTTACTGTGTGCTGGCCATATGGCTGCGGTCAAAGACACTTTAATCAACCTCAACAAACAGATCGGATTCAAGTCTCTCTTTCTTTCCCAAATACTTGAAAAAGTTCCTGCAGCCCAATTTACCAATTACCTTGGCACTAATAGCCTATTATATCTCCTCCAGCTCTGGACTTAGGCCATGTCAGTCAGCTGTAAGTGCAGTCACAGAGGTAGCTAATGACTGATTGCTTTAAACTGCAGCTCCCACTGAGTCTTAATCCTGCCTGATCTGAGTGCGCCATCATTAACATTCATTAATTTTATCGACTGCCTTAAGAAGCATGTTGGCGTTAGTTCTAATGCCCTGAAGAGGCTCAGATTGTCACAATCTTTGCTTCGGACTGTCTCTGTTCTTTTTTGTTTTATCCTAACAGCCAATCTTTGTATAAGAATGAAATCAGCTTATACCAATGACAGCCCAATTTTGTTTCCCACTCATAGGTGATCATGTTTAAGCTTCAATGTCAGTAACATGGCAATGTATTTATGTTAATATAACTACAAAAACATGGGGAATGTACATCTTTGATTGTCTTGCAGAGTTTTTTAAAATGCTGCCACATGGTGTTACCGCTACTCATGCTATTATATACTCCTTTTCACACATGCCGCCCTAAACTACAGGAAAGTTTTCTTAAACTACCTGGGCTGTAACTTTTAACTTCTTACTCAGATATTCTATCTTAAGGTTTGCAAGCCCCATACTTAAAAAAACAAAACAAAACATGCTTAACATGAGCTGTTAGTTGTAAAGCTAATATTATATACATGATTTAGAAATTATCAAAAAATGCATTACTTGCATTTGGCTTCTTAGAGATGCTGTCTTTAGGACATAATGGATATCAGTTAGTGCTGACAATACATTTTACCCAGCATTACCCCTCCTAAATCCCCAAATGTAAGCAGAAAAAGGACATCTAAGTAGGAGTGCCTCCTGGATTTAAAATGGTTTAGTTTGAGGTGCTCTGTAGTTCAACAATCCTTCAATATGTTGAATTTTTAACTGTATAAACAGAAATATTTCAGTCTTTACTATCACATTTTAGATGAGCTAGTTCAGAAATAACAAGGAGTTTGAACTTTTTGTAGTCTAAGTGACCACAAACATGGGTGACTGCTTTGCTTTAATCTTCCAACCCACTTTGTATCAAATGGAAGAGTTGTCCCTTTATTTCTGTCCTTTCAAAATAAATTGATAAAAATATGTACCAGAGAGGCAACAAGAAGACAACCCCGAGAAAGGAAATGGTTTCACAGGCGTTGGTCACAGACCACAGCTTTCTGCTTATCCTTCCTGATCTTTTCTCTAGTTTTGCTTTTAGCTGGTGTCCTTTTTCCCTGCTGGTAGCATGAGATAACACGTGTTTTGCATTTAGGTTGTGCGCCGCTGCAAGAAGGTTGTTGTTGTGTCTCCAAACATGATCTCGAGGGTGTGGAGGAGATACCAGGAGATGGGTTGTTACACAAGTTAAACAAGGCCACAGGTGTACATCCACCCAGAAGCAGGGCTGGCATTTGCTCCGTTGTGCAATGAGGAGCGTGACAGTGGAAGTATCTAACAAAATGACCTCCAGCATGTTTCTGGCACTTGTTCCATGAGGGTGGCCTGACACACTCTAGTGGCACCTTTGCTAATGGAAGTTACAAATATAACTATAGTTCTGTGAATTCACAGATAACTGCCAATGGCAGGAAACTACGTAGATGGGTCTCCTCATGATCTGCGCAGGTCCGGAAATAAAATCGCGTGCATGATGTGTACGCTACTGAAGCGTGTGTACTATAAATACTACGTGGTAGCTCACATCTGGTCTCTGGGAATCTTCTCACACTGAGACGTTTTTAGCCGCCAGCAGGTCTGACATCCTGGAATTCAGAGAATCATAGTTACCTTTGTAACTTCTGTTCTGATTCATTTCCCCCTGTCTGCCAGTGGGAGTAAACAATGCAGATGACTTGTACCAGTACTGTCACAAGGAACAACTTCCTGGTCAGCCAGCAGCAGAACAGCTGAAGCTAATGTGGGCTCTGAGGCCACATTAAGCTAGTAGAACCTAGCAAATGTGAAAGACGCTGCCCGGGAAGCCACTGTTCACCAAGTAAAACACCACTCATTGCCACCCAGTGTGGCCACACCGCTGATACAGTGGCAACTAACACCAGAATGGACCAGTGTATTTGCTGCTATCTGCACCTGTTTTACTGAGTTCCTCCTGTTGTTCCCATTATAACATATAGAGAGCTGCTCTAATCATCTGTATGGATGCCTTCCATACTGCACTGGAACCATGAAATTATTCACTAAAATTGATAACAAATGTATTAAATAGTGAAACAATTAAATGTGTCATTAAATATATACAATAGGAATTAAATCATTTTTTAAAAAGTTTAAATGAAATGAATTAAATGTATGTATTTTGTTAATTAGTTAATTCCAATTTAAATTGATTAACACATTTAATTAATTATTTAATGATGTATTTATTTAATGCATTTTAGCACTCGAGGCCCTCCGTAGCCTTAATGCTGGTTACTTAAATAAAAATTTCTTGTGTCCCGAGTCAAAAATCTACATGTGTCTGCCTCTCCTGTCCTCACAGGTTAATGGCACACCAGTATCCGTACCATTTGTAACAGGGCTGATGACACGCCTGTCCACATCTGAGGGTTTCATTGTCATCGACACACCCCAGGACATCCAGGTTCGCTACAACCACTTTAACACCCTGAGCATCACAATGGGCCAGCGGCTCCAGAACAAGGTGTGCGGCCTTTGTGGGAATTTCAATGGGGACCCCAATGATGACTACATCACCTCAAGGGGCAAGCCGGCTGTCAGCGCCCTGGAGCTGGCACAGAGCTGGAAGACCAACGGCATGCAGAACAGGTAGATGAGGCTCACAGATGGGGAGGAATTTACGGTCCATATAACCAGTTCTTGTAAAAACCTTTGGCTGTTATCCCCAGAATATAAAAGGAAAAGTTAAGGTTACTTAATCCATAAGCCATGCGTCTGCAAGCATGTGCATGTCTTAAACCCTGGATATTAACTGGCTGTTGCTAAAACATATCACTTGTGCAAATCATTTATACAGATAATAGCAAACGGAGCAATTCTAACAGGGCCTTTGCTCCTTCTTTGCTCGCGTCCTAATACCTTTGACAGTTGGATTTTGGTCTTTCTCCTCTAGTTGTGATGAGACCCAGTACGTGGCTTTGGCTCAGTCCTGCGACAACTCGGCCATCCTGGCTCTGCAGAGTGAAGATGCCTGTCAGAAGCTCACCCAGCTCAAAGGCTTCTTCCAGCCATGCCACGGCCTGCTGGATCCCCGTCCTTTCTACCAGTCCTGCTACCTGGATGGCTGCTACAATCATCGCAAGGCTCAGGTCTGTGGATCACTAGCCGCCTATGCAGAAGCCTGCCGGTCCATGGGCACCCTCACGACCAAGTGGATCACCCAAGAGAACTGCTGTAAGGGCACTGTGAACTTCTCTCAGACTCAATGCCCACTGCGGAAATAAACACAACTTTGCACTTTACACAAATATAAACCAGCACTAATGCTGAATTTACCAGATGTACTAAAAGTGAAAGTATTGGGTCTCATTAAATTATTGATTCACACATTATGAGCTTAGTTTGCTAAGATTTCCAGATTGCTTTCCATCAAGACCACTGTGTTACTACGATGAGACGTGAAATGTAAATTTGTTTGACTGCTTCGTCAGTATTAGATACGTGCATGTTCTTAAAAACTTTGTGCCTTCATCTGTGTGACAGTTAACATTGTGTGTGGACCTGTCTTTAGCAGAATGGATCTATGACCCCTGTGCAGGAGAGATCTGCACAAACTTCACCTGTGAGCTGGAGAATGGAGGCGATCTGTGTGGCTGTCCGGAGTTACCCACCAACTCTGAAGGTGAGTGCTTCATCCAGCTGCAATCACTCAGTTTTAAATATCTGACACTCTCCGTGTTACTTGATTAGCCAAACATTTTAAAAGCTATTAAAAAATACTTTTTTATTTAATCATGGCTATGGTGAAATACATGGCTAATGTGAAATACATGTTTTTGCAACATGCAAAAACATGTATTTCATGTCGATGTTTGTTAGGCGAGGATGACATCATCCAAGCGGAGGTGACCTGTAAGCATGCTCAGATGGAGGTTTCCATCTCCAAGTGTAAGCTCTTCCAGCTGGGCTTTGAACGGGAAGATGTCCGGATCAACGACGAGCACTGCGCTGGCATTGAGGGAGAGGACTTCATCTCCTTCCACATTAACAACACTAAGGGACACTGCGGTTCCATTGTACAGGTCAGTTTGCATTGTGTTCGTCATCACTTTCGAAATGTGATAAAACTCCCCGCATCTCAGTTTGGATCCTTTTAGACACTACAATGTAGTCGTCAACACGATCTACCAGGGGTCTCAAACTCCAGTCCTCGAGGGCCGGTGTCCTGAAACTTTTCCATGTTCCAAGACACTATAGAACTTGACTGCATGCTGAGGTGGCAATTCAGCCATTTGATTCATGTTACAGCAGCTCATGAGTGAATGAACATGGTGCAATAAAAGTACTTTTAGAAGTAAAATTTTCCAAACACTTACATTTACTGTATTTTCCGGACTATAAGGCGCACTTAAAATCCTTTCATTTTCTCAAAAATCGACAGTGCGCCTTATAATCCGGTGCGCCTTATGGTCAGAAAAATACAGTACTTAAATTTAGTTGATTAGGGTTAGGGGTTGACATTTCAGCATGCAGTTAAGTTCTATATTCTTGCTAATGACCTACTAATTGTATTCAGGTGTGTTGTACCAGGGTCACATGGAAAAGTTTCGGGACACTGGCCCTCGAGGACTGGAGTTTGAGACCCCTGGTCTACACTATCTTGGAAGCGACACTTGTAGCATTTTAACTGAAACTGCCACAACACGTGCCAATGAATAATTTTGTCACTGCTAGCTGGCTGGCTAGGTGGCACTGGCACAGACAACCTACCCCCTTCCTACTGGCTGAAAATTGTTTGGTAGACCCGCCCCTTCGATTGTCTACCCCTGCTCATCAGTGTAAAAGATCTTATGCACTCCAAATTTGATATCCACTTGTGGGAAGATTGGCAACTCATGAATGTGTTCCTCATGTGAATAATCTTTTTCACTTTAAAGTGATCAACAGAGTCTTATAACTTCCTCAGATTGATGTTGCTTCTTTATATTTATTGCTGATGTCAAATTTTCTGCTTTTATAGACGTGCGTTAGCAGCTCCTGGCTCTTAAATCCTCATAATTCTGGCTAATTCTGGCTAATGTTTTTGGTGAATAAATTATTATTTAATAATTTCATTATTATTATTATTGTTATTACTAAATGATTAGTTTTTATGATGTCTTCTGTCTGTACGGTGTTTTACATTTTTTTTGTATGGGTGAAATCAAAAGCAGCAGCTAGGATAATTTGTTCCTTTAATGTAGAAATTTGAAATTATGAGTCACCTACGCTTTATTTCTCTTACAGTCCAACGGCACACACATCATGTATAAAAACACTGTGTGGATAGAAAGTGTGAACAACACTGGGAACATCATCACCAGAGACAAGACCATCAACGTGGAGTTTTCCTGCGCCTATGAGCTGGACCTGAAGATCTCACTGGAGACTGTCCTCAAACCCATGCTCAGGTCAGGCAGCAGAACACAAATATGCACCAACAAGTGCGACACAACGGCTCAATGCTTGGATAGTCATTTCTTTTTCCTTTTTTCTCCAGCGTCATTAACCTCACCCTACCGACCCAGGAAGGAAACTTCATTACCAAGATGGCTCTGTATAAAAACTCCTCGTACCGCCATCCATACAGAGAGGGGGAGGTGGTGCTCAGCACTCGAGACATCCTGTACGTAGGCGTCTTTGTGGAAGGAGCGGATGAAAACCAGCTCATCCTTATAGTGAATATGTGCTGGGCCACACCGTCGCGCTACAGCAGTGATCGACTCCGCTACATCATCATTGAGAGAGGGTGAGGTTTATTTAGTCCTGGACCAAAAATGCTCAAAAGAGAGGTGGGAAAAAAAGATTTTATTTTATGTTTTAAACTCAACCATTTTTTTTGGCCTTCTTTTTCTCTTAATGTAATCCAAGATGAAGTTGAGGTGTGATTGGGGTAAAGTATGTAGCTCTTTATGAAGCCTATGGGTTCACTACAGTCTGCTGCTTTAAGATGACCTTTATAGTCTGATCCACACATTTTGAGAAAAAGAAAATGAAGTAATAGATACAGTCACTGTGCATGCCCTTTGCACGCCCTCACTGTGCCGGCAGTGTCTCTGGGTACTTCCTCAACAGGCCACGCCACGGCATGTTAGTTAAATTGTTTTTTCTAAATTTACGTGAGGTAGATAACGTGCTTGAGGTGTTTAGAATAAAGCACTATGGATGTCACGGCCCAAAGGTTTTGCATTATTTTTCGATTCCTTCTTTATTGTTGTAACTTTTGGGTTCCTGTTTAATCTATTACTGTTTTATTATTGTAGTAGTAAGTGTTGTTTCTAGTGATATTATTATAATTATTATTATACGATTGTAAAGTCTTTGATCCCTACTTTTACTATATAGTAATTCTAGTCCATAGTCCTTCTGTCCGAGTCTTCTAAACTCGGTGATTAGTATTTGTCTTTTGTTCACGTCCTGCTTCATTTTGAAGCCTGAGTGTCTGTTTATGCCCTGCATTACTTTTACTTCCTTCCCCTCTTTTTTGTATTAATAACTTTGTCTTTCTGTGTTCCCCTTGAATTAGTTCATCCAGGTTTAGCATGTCCTCTGAACCCTCCCTGCGTCAGTTATGGTTGTTGTTCCTTTCCTGCTTTAGTTTTGCATCTTTCCTGTATGACTTTTCACCTGTTTCCAAGGAACACTCAAGAGTTACCTCCTTAGTCATGTATGTGTATAAATAGTCCTGCCCTCTACTTTGTCTTCATTGTGTCATCTATCTGGTCCTGTGGGTACTTCTTAGTTATACACGCATGCTCGGGTCTTTGTCATGCCTTTTGTGCTTTGCATTTGTGATCAGTGTTTGGACTCCCTTTTAAGACTTTGTTTAGTTTGGATGTTGACATTATCCATATTAAAAGCTCATCTTTTGTTGACCGTTCTGCCTCCCAAGTCCCACAACTACCTTCTTGACTACAGCACATTTAATATCTTGCTTATTCTAGGTGCCCAAACATTAAGGACAATACCATTGGCATGGCAGAGAATGGCGTATCACTCACCTGCCGCTTTCACGTCACCGTCTTCAAGTTCATCGGGGATTACGATGAAGTCCACCTGCACTGTGACGTTTCTCTGTGCGACTCAGAGACGAACGCCTGCAAAGTGGTGAGTAAATCAAGAAGAGCAATAAAAATCAGAAAGCGTCCTGCTGTGTGTTTGGGTGTTGATGTATCAATGAACTGTGTGTGCAGAACTGTCCACATAAGAGAAGAATGTACTCAGAGGACAGTGACCATAAAGAGCACATACTGTCTGTTGGACCCATAAGAAGAAGAGGTGAGCATAGTTTTAGATAGAAAATAGCTTATTGGGTAAAATACACGCTTTAGAGTTTATTGTTTAAGTAATCTGTGGAAAAACAAAAAGTCGTAGGTTAGCTTCTGATGTGTTTTCAGAGTCTGACTGGTGTGAGGAGAACAATGGAGGCTGTGAGCAAATCTGCACCAGTAAGGCCGCTGGGCCCATCTGCAGCTGTGTGACTGGGATGCTGCAAAGAGATGGGAAGAGCTGCCGGGGTAAGGACAACAAAAACACACATATGCATTCTACAAATACCTAATTTTAAGGTTTTTTTCCCACCTTATTGAATCATAGCATGACCTAAACCGCGGCAATATCAGCCCCAGAAAAACAGAAACTACACATGAGGGTCACCAGGCAGGTTTTGCATGTTTCTCAATAGTTTACAGTTTCCATCATGTTTCACACAATTGGAGTGATTGAAGCAAAGCTAATAAAGTTTAAGTCTTGTAGATACAGCCACTACACACTTTATTAAGTAAACCTTGTAAGTACCAGATTGGACCCCTTATTCCTTCAGAACTGCTTTTATCCATGATGTCAATCTCCACCACAATGTGCTCTACTGGACTGAGATCTGGCGAATGTGGAGGCCCTTTGAATACAGAGAACTCACGTGCCGTGTCCCTTTATAACCACAGTGCCCGTGGTCAAAAAGGAACGGCATGGTCAGCAGCAAACGGTGCCAAGAATATGTCCCTTCTTCTCTGAATTCTGGCATCATCAAGGTTTTTCCAGCTAGAGAAATGCCACTCACTGGAAATTGTATTTTTTTCAGACTGTTTCTCTGTAAACTCTAGAACTGCTTGTGTGGGAAAATCCCAGTTTATCAGCAGTCTCTGAATAATCAGACCAGTCTGGCACCAACAACCACACCCCGTTCAGTCACTTCAGTCACCTTTCTTCCCCATTCTGATGCTCAGTTTAAACTTCAGCAGGTTGTTTGAGTCATGTCTGCATGACTAAATATAATGAGTTCCTGCCGTATGATTAAATAATTAGACATTTGCATTAATGAGCAGTTGAATGGTGCAACTAAAAAAGTGGGCAAGTTTCTGTGCATTAAATCATAAAATTTAGGGCGTTCAACTTAATTATTAGTTAATTGATTGTTCATATGAATTCCATATATTTATAACTCTTGTAGCTTTTGCATGCTGCACACAAACTAAACTGGTAATTTGTAAAAACCAGTAGCATTAAGACAGTATTTCCACCACATGCACATTTCACAAATGTTGTCATACTCCCTTCTTTTTTTCCAGCCGTGAGCTCAAGCAGTAACATCACACCTGCGATTCCTCTGCTGAGCGTCAGCGCTGCGATCTCCGTGCTCCTGGCTCACCTTCACACTCTTCTCCTCTCCTAACGCTCTGTGAGCTAAGAGAAGGCAATAAATGACAAAGATCAAACACACAAAAAGACTTGAATATGCACAAAGTATCATCATTGATTAGCCAGTAGATCAGCTGTGTTTCAGCCAGAAAGTCAAGACAGAATATACTGTACACCGACTAATTTTTGTCTCCACATTTCATTGATAAAAGGTAAGTCAGTTTTCTAGATACATGGACAGTCAGTCAGTTTCACTGCTTTGTTGTGTTTTTCTTCATCCCCATCTGCTCCCTCATTTACATTTATCAGGACTCCCACTGTTTATCACTCACCTAAAGCCACTATGTGTAGATGTTTTCATGTGATTATAACATATTTTTACAAATTTCTTTATAGGAAATTAACATATTATGCATGCTACCACCAGATGGTGCCAAAGAAAGTAGTTTTCCAATCCTAGACATACAAACTTGAAGGTACAACAGCTAAAATCACACAGTGATGTTTATGGAAAGACAATGGCAGAATTAAAAAGAAACAGTAATATAACTGATTAGTTAAAGAGGCATAATTGTAAATCATCAGGGAATGTGAAATGTGATCCCACCTGTTTGTATTTATACCTGATATTATTCTACAGTCACACTAAGGAAAGCAGTGGCTGGAGATCACGACTGTGTGCAATGAACTTGCGAATTTTTTTTTGCCATTGAAATTGTTGCTTCAAAGACAGGATCGGGTCTATGACCACTTAGTCAGATGCCATCTTTAAAATGACCTTAGTGTAACAATAAGACGACGTCAGTCTGCTATCGTTCAATTGAATGCACTCAAACTGGCAACTGCATTCAGTCTGTTTGTGATAATATAGTGATTATGAATCAATCTGCTGCAAATCGCATTCAAATCAAACTTATATCAGAAATTCCCACTAACTACACTCCTCCATAAACGGTGACGTAGCTGCTGCTTATAACCAGAATACAACTAGTTGATTACAGCGTGCTAGCAATTTGTCTGTGTTTGCAAACTTTTACCAATCTGTCTGAGAGCGATCGGTTGCTTGGAGACAGGTTGCCTCCCACCAGGCAATGTTTGCAACTACCTTGCAATAGAAAATTAACTATATGTTTGCACTAAGTACTTGCAAGTAAAAAGTAAAAAAAGCAACAAAACACAGCAGTAATCAGGCAACCATCAGTTTTGACTGTTTTTACTCTAGTGTGAGCTATTCATAAATCCCATTCTGTCCAAACTGTGATCAGATCTTAATGAGTAGGTGGGGTGCAACAACTAGAAACCCTCATGATTGTGATTTAATTGATTTACAGAGCCATCAAAATGTAAACATCAAACTATTTTATTATTAATTTATGAATAAATTACATTTAAATAACTGTAAATTTCCTTTTTCTCAGTGGAGAGGTTTATTAAAGTTACCTTTTATATTTTAAACTGATAATCAGATGAAACAAAAAAGTAAAATAGAAACTTTTAATTTGAATTTTTTTTAAATTAAATTACATTTTAAAACCAAGCAGTTAATAGTTATTGTGCTGACTTGACGTCATTCAGGGGTCACAAGGTCACATATTCATGACATTTGGATCGAAATGGGAAAGAAGCTTGTTTATAAGTACCATAAACTATAAATAAAAGATGGGCATGGCAAAGTCCAGTCTTTGAAACCTTGAACTGAGGATTTGCCGCCTTGGTGTGGTGAGACTGGGTGTGAGGACTGAAGGGTGGAGCTGACCGAAAAACCAAAGTGCTTTATGTTCGTGGGCTCGCTGATCCCATGTTGGGCCTGACCTAAAGCATACCCTGGTCTGAAAACCATCCAGAAACAGTAGCCCCTTCCTGACGCTTAAGCTTAAACTCCCTGGGCTTCACTTTTATACTCAGCCTGAGGTTGGCGCTACTCTGCTACTCATGTGATTGTGTACTTTCATTTAGTATTTTGAGAGTCTCCCCAAAAGTATGATGCTGTTTTATGGACTTTACGGCTCAGGTGTGACTTTTTGATGATAAGCTTAAGAGAGGAAGAAGAGCTGAGGTTACTGTATGTAACATTTAAACATGCTGTTTCTTAAAAAAAATGGCAAAACTGTACGGATTTCATTAAGAAACTGGCAACTGAGCATCTGCAGATCTGTGTCAGAGTGCAAACCTTTACCCAGAAACGAGCGAACAAACTTTATCTTATATAATTGCTTCCTAACTGTACGGATTATTGCTCTAAACCAATAAAACCTACAGCAGGTTATGGCTGAAAAGGAGGTTAGGGGTTATCTAAGAAGAAAACTGTGTGAAAGGGTGATGCATTGTGAAGTGAAGTATTTATGTGTGAAGTATCTGTTTAAAATGTTAATCAGCCACAACATTAAAACCACCCGCCTGATGTTGTGCACAGATCTGACTCGCTGCACCTCAGGGGGCGCCCTCTAGTGCCTGGCAATGGGACTTTGACTCCTTTGGCGTCTGTATGCTTTCGAGTGGGGCTACCATGGATTAGAACCGCAGTCTGTCCTAAACCTTAAAAAGTTGCTTTGTTGCCTAAATTTAACCAAACTGCAATTGACGGTTAATTTTTTCTTAAAGAAACCCAAAGTTTCCCATCAAAAAATTGCATTTTAACTAGTTGATCAATATTTTTCACTTCACCTGCGTGAGTGGTTTTGATGATGTTGCTTTACTGGTGTAATTTTTTACCTTTTTATGTTAGTACCCAGGATGAGGGGGACAGGGGATGAGTTTAGCTGTGCCATTAAAAACCCAATTTTCGTGTCATTTCTGAACTAATTAGTTTCGGTCTTCTCGTGCTTTTCAGTGTACTTTCTAACACTCATTGCATGAATTCAGTTTGAGGAGTGGAGCAGGTGTCGGATAGTTTATCTGCAGCTCACAGTCAGCTGCTTTTAATGGTTTAAATATCAATAAATGTCAACCACACATCTTACAGATCCTTCAAAGTTCTTCCAAACGCTGACACTTTGGTGCAGTTACACAAAATAAAAAGCAAACAGAGTAGTTGTTGCCTTTTGTGTACAAATGTACAGTCCTGGTCAGTTTGGTGGTTTGTGTCATCGCTGACCTTTTTAAATAATCGGTATCTTTTTTGTGTGTGTTGTTTAAAACTAAGTGACTAAAGAGGTGTTTTATTCTTTGAGAGCAGCACCACCCTGCTATAAATAAATGAAGACGTTCTCAAAGTCAGTGTGAGTCACGCATTATTTCATGCAGAACATGCAGCCCTGCGAGAGAGCTCGGGGTTACGAAGCAGAGCTCTTCATTTGCTGGTCAGAGGCGACACTTACTCATAAACACAGCATTAAAACATCACTTGTCACCTGAAAAAAAATTGAAAGGCTACATTTTTGGTTGAGTTTCACTGTAAAGTTATTCCTGACGCTGAGTAAACATCCACTCCAAGCTGCTGTCTCCTAGCAACAAGCTCCAGCTACAATTAAGTGATGTGTCATCCAGTCCTCACTCATGACTCTGCCAGTGTTAGGATCTGTTTAAATTCTTTCCACAGTGCAGGGAGTCGCTCCTTTGAAGGATTTCTGTTCGCTGTCGTCATCCGCCGACTGTCAGTGACATCTCACTGCAGCTGACTGTTAATGAGGATGTAGGCGGATGGAGGAAGGTGAGGCTGCAGCGGTCAAACGAGTTGGGCAGAAAAGACAGTAACAAACCATCAACTGATCCGTTTAATTTGCCTTAAGAGTACAAAAAAAGAGAGCGATGAGCTACTGGGCCTGTTTCAGGTAGGGTCTGGTTCATATCGACCCCTTTAAATGAAATTTCACCTGAATGCTGAGAACAGGTGACCTGTGAGGCGAAACTTATTTAAGCACACAAGAAAAGCACAGGCTTAGAAATTTATAGCCAATTCACAAAGTAATACTCTTAGGCATTAGACACAGGCTAAACCACCTGCCTTCCCTCCATTGTTGCCTCTGTGCTTCCCCTTCAAACCTTCTGTTTGTGAGCTTAGTAATATAAACAGGGATTATTTTGAACTGCAAATCAGACAAAACTACTCTGGCAGAACCAAAGAAAATAACATGCAGCTGAAAATTAGAGTACCAGGTCCACTTTAAGGTTGTTTTGGAGCAAGGGTAACCCAGATAATTTCCTTAGGGATTAATAAAGTATTCTGATTCTGATTTTGGTGTGCTAACAAGCTAGCATGCAGCTGCAAAGTTCTGCTGTCACCTCGTGAGTCCAGTGGCTCCTGCAGCACGCTGTGCCCCTCTGGTAGGAAGGCAGCTTAAAGAGTACAGCCAGAGGACACAGTTTTTGGCATTTCAGTTATGAATTTCAACACAAAATGGTTTAACTGAAGACTGAAGCAGTTGCAGTTCCTCATAAAGTCCAAGTACCAACTGAGCTGAGAGGAAAGTGAAGCACTGCCAGCAACACGTGAGGAGCTGCCAAATGCTTCACACTCACCCCGCACTTGTTAACACACAAGTGCTTTGATGTAAGAGTACACATTAAGGAAACGCTTTGCACAAGGAGACACAATTTCACACTGAAAAGAGATGGAAACTGCAGTTAACAGCTGATTTAGGACTCTAGACGATCCTCTTTTTCTTTACTAGCGACAACCTTTAAGTGCCCACAGAGGTGTTTTGACCTGGCAAATATTCAAAGCAAATATTTTCCCGCAAGAATAATTTGGTAAACTTGCTGATTTCAATTTTGCTTTTAGTTGAAGCAGAAGGGAAGCTGGGAAATGCCTGAGATAAAAGGTTAAGCTGACCTGCTCTGCCACACGCAGGTCAGTCGGGGCACTGATTATGTAAATGTCATACAAAGGTGCTCTGTTTATATGTTGCTAGTGAAAACAAAGTTGAAGCACGAGGCCTAGTTTCCCTCCCATACAAAGTCTATTCTGTGTCCATGGTTATGTAAGTTTGTAGGAGTGTGTATTTCTGGGTGTGAACATGTGCTCGTGAATCACACTTCCAGATAAAATTGTTACCTATTGTCACTAAATATATTCTGCACTTAAAGCCTTCTTGTAATTACCAGAGGCACGCACATATTCTGCCCTCTGATTTGTCCAGGGTGTAAAAGGGGCCTCCAGCTCCCTGCAACCCTACTTAACCATTTAGGAGTTTAAAAACTGGATGGATGGGTAAAACTGGAGAGGGTAGTAGTGTTCAGAGAGCCGTGAATTGTCCTTCGGGAATGTTCAGTGTATTTGCTACTTCAGCAGATAAGCAGATTCTTATCTGTACAGTGAGCCTTACCTCACTGTGGGTTACAAAACCGACCTTTTCTTTTCAGTGCGACAGTGTGCAGAGCTCCGTCAGCTGGACTTGCATTCCATCTAAATAAAATGCAAACACTTATTATGCAATTAATGGTCCATTTAACTCTTTACCGATTGAAAGCCAACGAGCAGTAACTAATCCTTGCTTCTCTTTTCTGAACAGAGCACTTTCTGCCATATCGCAGGCCTGTTTATAGACTGGGTGTGCATTAGAAGTTATTGAGCGTGGTCTCTGCCTATGCAGCTACCCTTGGAAAAACCTGAAAACTATTCTGCTGGTCTTCAACCCACATCTTTACTGATGTATACCGAGGTGTCAAAACTCGCCATGAAGGGTACTGGGAGGGTTGTGAAATGTTGTCTTTACGGTGGAAAGAGTTAAGCGGTCAGGTTCCTCCTTTCTTTTCTTCAGTAATTCTTGCAGCAGCTCTTCATCAGTGCATTTCCTGTCTGCAGTACGAATGTGGGACAGACCTGTGAAAGAAGTGCCAGCCATGAGCACAAGAACCTGGTAGTTTTAATGTGTAAACCTAACAGACTCATTTGTGTACCTAAATCTAACTGAGTAACACATTTTGAATTAATCTGTGACCAGTATAGCTTCTTAGCTGTCAGAAGTGTTGGCTAGTGTGGTCTTCTGCTGCTGCAGCCCATCTGCTTCAAGGTTTGATGTTTTCTGGATCTAGAGATGCTCTTCTGCATCTTGAATGTAATGAGTGGTTATTTAAATTACCATTGCCTTCCTGTCTGGTTATTTTACATTGCTTGCTCCAGAGAACGGCTGCTCACCTGATATTTTCTCTTTTTTTGTCAACGCTCTGGAAACACTAAAGATGATTGGGTGGAAAAATCACTGTAAATCTGCTGTTTCTGAAATATTTAGACAATCAGCAACAACGGCACGTTCAAAGACACTCTAATCACCTTTGTCCCGATTCACAGTTTGAACTTCGTCTTGATCATGCCTGCATGAGTTGTTGCCATGTGACCATAAGACATTTGAAATAAGAGGCTGAAGAACAGCTGCACCTCAGAAAGTGATCGGCGGGTGTAAAAGTATTGCATTTCTACTCACGCTGTCCTCCACAGTCACCAACCACAACAGGCCAAAGCATTTCAGCGTGCATCTGTTCCTCATTTCATAACGCTGCTGGTATTTCATTGTTCTTTATTTGCTGCTCTTTGTGAAAGCAGTTAAGTGAGTGACTCAGTGTAAACTTTATGTAATTGCATAGCTTATAAGAAAGGATTCCCTGGGTTTGTTCAGGCACGAGTATTTCCACAGGCACAAAGGCCTCGCCTGGGCGTAGAGCAGCAAAGTGGAAGTGTTTGCACGAGAGGATTAATGCCATCTTTAAAACAGGGTGTGATTTTGTTGCAATTGTTTCTTGTATAATTATTTGGGGCAGAGCTGGCAGGGTGAGTTTCCCTCACAGTGCCGACCTTAAACGCGCATTTGTTTTTTTTTAGTTAATTAATTTTTATGGCATGCATGTGCTCTGGCTGGTTGCATAACATAGCTTTCAGGCATGCTTATTATTTAGAGGTCTTATCCCAGTCTCGGTTCTTATCTCAATTTTATCAAGTGCAATTTCCCCCTGTTATTAATTCACCATGGTTCAAACTGAGATACTTGAACACTTCAACGCTGATGAGATTGTGCACAGTAAGAATGTACATTTCCTTCATTAACTAGCCAGGTTAATAATTAATCATCTATTACAGGCTTGAAGTAAATCAAATTATTTGAACTCATATAAATCCTGCTAAACCACAACATCCAGCCCATATAATCAGACACACGACGGTAGCTCATTAGAAATTAAGGCTTTCAACCTACCAATGCAACCTATAGGATACAATATATCTTTACAACCCCATATTTGTTTTTACAATACAAAAAAAATTATATCAAATGTTTAAACTGAGACATTTTACTATGTCATGAAAGTATTCGCTTTTTTTGAATTTTATGGCAGCAACGTCTCACAAAAGGCTGAAAGAGAAAACAAGAAACAGCTGGAGGAACTGGTCAGTTTTAACTGGCTGCAGATCAGTAACATGACTGGATATAAAAAGAGGATCTTAAAGAGGCAGAGTTTCTCAGAAGTGAAGACGGGCAGAGGATCACCAATCAGCAAAATAAATAAATGAAAACTCTACAAATTGCGAAACAACTTCAGAGTGATGGTCCTCAATGTGAAAATGTGAAGACTTCGAGTATTTCATCATCTACAGTCTATAAAATTATCAAGAGATTCAGAACATCTGGAGAAATCTGGAGAAAATTTGTGTTCTGCATTAAAAACCACTTCATGGGTTCAGAAAGACTTCCAGAAATCATCGTCTGTGAACACTGTGTCATTCACAGAGGTTAAAGCTCTATCGTGCAAAGAAAACGTCGCATGTGAAGATGATCCAGAAATGCTGCTGTCTTCTTAAAAGAGACTGAGCCGAAGTGGAAAACTGTTCTGTGCTCAGACGAGTCCAAGTTTTCTTTGTGGAGAACTTGAACACCACTCCCTCCGGACTAAAGAGGAGAGGGACCATCTGGTTTGCTATTAATCAACAGTCCGCTTGCTAAATACAATTTCCATCCATCTGTTGAAGCAACCTGGCAACACACAACCTGATTCAAAGAGTGTGTGCAGCTAATCTCACTGCAGACACCAGCTAGATGCTGAATGAATTAGCTGCTATCTCTGCGGCAGTTTGACTATTTAGGGTCTCGGTGCTTCAAAGTAAGTAGTGAACATTTAATAACAGATAGTAAACAAATAACGGCAAGTCGAGCCATTTTTGTGATTTTGGAGTTCTGAAATCGGCACAGCTGTGGACATTTTCAACATTTTTTACTGATTCAAGCTTCCAGAATTATTAAAAATAATCAAAATGTCTGATGCATCGTTCCAACTGGCTCTCTTCCACACCATGTTTTTTTATCCTGTCACTCTCCCATCACTGGTGGTAGAAGCTGGCTGTCCCTCCCAGAGCCTGGTTCTGCCGGAGGTTTCTTCCTGTGAAAAAGGAAGTTTTTCCTTCCTGCTGTCATCAAATGCTTGTTTATACAGGGTCGTCTGATTGTTTAGGTTTAAATAATTATTAAATATTAAATAAATATATGAATATATGAATTGAACTGCAGGCAACAACCTATAAACATTTCCATCAAATTTATCTGAGGTGGACAAACAGCACTGGTCTCTATGTAATCAGCTGTGAGACGAGTCCCTAAGGGGCCGTCTACGAAGTGCAACACAGGAAAAACTAAGATACTTCAAAAATAAACATTTAAAAGCTCATCAAAATGATTTCACACATTTGTTTTCCTTTTGGTCACTAGACCAGTTGGTGACCAACTTGGCAACCACTGGTCGCTGTAGATGATTGTGTATTCCCAACCAGTTGGTGACTGGTTGTTGGGAGTCACTGGGTATTTTAATGTTGGTTTCATTTTCAGTTCTGGAGCCCGGTTGACCTCACAGCTTTGGTTTTATTTTTTAGGTATGTTTATTTACATGTTACCCTCAGGATGTAGTCCTGATTTAAATATCTGAACACTTATCGTAAGGGCTCAAGTAAACCCATTCCTTTGTATCGGGTTCACAGGTTGGTTTTGGACCAAACATCTGCAACACTTTCATCATCCTCACCTGAAGTCTGTGGTCATTTTCAAAATACAGATTGTGACGATGGGAAACGCAACACATGCTGTTCCAGGTGACTCACTGTGACTCGGTGGGTTGGGTGAGCGAACATTTTCTCTCTGAGTGTGCTGCTACAGAGAGTTTAAAAGGTTAGACAAGAGGAAAAAGGTCAAGCTTAATCAGCAGAAAAACTACAAAAAAACCCCTTTTTCTTATTTTTTCTTTTATACCAGCTGCATCAGTGCAGCAGCACACGAGACAGTGAACAATTACTGAAACTCTCACAGATTATCATCCTAAATTCACCCTCTCATCGAAAGCTACTAAGCCAGTTCTCCCTGATAAACCTGCAGCTTTACCCAGTGAAATGTGTGTCATGTTTAACATGCAGTAACAATTATCCATGGCTGGAATGTCAAGAAGCTTCATTCTTCCTGTGCGTATGGAGAGTTTAATTATTGGGTTGATTAAAAATAATTCTCGAACTCTGTCTTTTAGCTGTGCTTGCTTTGCTATTGTTTCAGGCGTTGCCTCACTGACCTACTTAGTGCACGTTCATTTTTTCCACAGTGTGGTAGTTTGACGGGGATCGGGCTGCATGTTTGAATGTTATGTGCTACAAATCTGTAAGTGGTCAGATTCTCATTAAATGTGGAGCTAATACTCATAAAATCCAGAGGACACTAATGATTGACTTCCCTCAACCTCTCTTCTATCTCTTCTGTCCACATTTTCGATTATGTCATTTTCAAAATGACATCATTTGTGGAACTAAAAGCGTGGTTTCACCTTTTCCTCATGCAGTGCTACATATAGGTATAAAATCTGATTCACCAGCTAAGCATTGCGCTACGTGACTATGAGGCCACCGGACTTTGCTCCAGGATTTTAATGGTCCTGCCGTTGCAGCCAGTAGATGAAATCATAGAAGCTAACATGGACCTGTTAAAGTTTACAAGCCTCTTATCAAACTCAAAGCTGTTTTATATAGTTTCTATAAACCAAAATCATTGAGATAAAACATGACTGTTTCTTTCCTATAGCAGTGCAGCAAACTATTCCTTGCTGTGTGATGTTGAAAACATCTTGTTAGAAAGCTGTAAGCAGAAATACTTTCATCTCTGCCTCCTCGTTT